ACCAAGCTATTTTTAAAGGCTCGCCTTCCCTCCTTCCCAACAACATTTCCTAAGCTCCAGCCGCTAGTGGAGAACTTCACTTCTTAAAGGGCAACCCTTTGGCCTGAAGAGAAGTGTTCCTGCATTCCAGAGACTTTTGCCTGTAACACTAGACTATTGAGGTATTAGGGGGGCCACTGGGTCCCTCAGGCTCAGGAAAAGTTGCCTGTGAAGGTCCTGAGTCCCTGGTGCTGTGGGAGGCTGTTTTGTGGGCCCCCGTCTGTGTCAGCTTCAGGCCCAGTGGTCTCTCTACAGGCTCAGAGTCTTGAATCTGTCTGGTGACTTGGCAGATGCCAACTCTGCATCTTGGTTGCTGGACTCTGAGGTCATTCCATTGGTTCTCCACTTCCAAAACTTACCCCAACAGGAAGTGCCAACACTGAGAGGCAGCAGGAAGAGAAGCATTTTCTAAGCTGTTCTTTTGAATACCTTGAAGGTCAAAGTGGGTACGATGTTAAATAAGTTTAGCATTTAATGTGCAGCTTTTTTCTTAAAATGCATGTGGCATCAACAGTGGTGTGGGGGTGATGGCTATTAAGACTGCAGCAGGTAGCAGGATACTGAACCCTTCTTCCCCAGCTGCAATCTTGAAGCAAACCTCTGCTTTGAAGCTGGTGTTTTCAGTGGGAGAAATACTCTTGTCCCCAGCTTTAGAGATATGGTTTTCTCCATTCATACTTATTTTCTCATCTTTGCTAGAAATAATAAAATCTACTTGTGCCTATACTGTAACCAACAGAGTACAATTAGTGTGCAGTAGCAAAATTGCATCATTTAAAAAGTTATTTTAGAATTTTTTGTTCTGTTTCCAAGTGGGCTCTCAAAAAATGAAAGATAATAATAAAGCAATAACTATTTCCAGATACTCAGTATCAAAACACACATTGGTGAACAAATATAGCCTAAGAGACATCAGTTGCAAGGGTCTGACTCAGAAGGGTAAAGAGGATGCATGGTGAATTTCCCCAGGGAGGGTGTTCCAGAATTGCAGCACTACCCCTGAAAAGACACCATCTCTGGTAAAGTATTAGGAAAAGGGTGGCAGCACAATTTGTTTGGTCGATATAAAACTTCTAATTCTGCCATTCAAGCCACCTTCCAACAATTACTAATTATATACCACATAGATGTATTCAAATACTTGGCAATACTGTATTAATATACTTCTCACTTCAGACAGTATGTTGTTGCAAACAGTGTGGTACATTGCTACTGATTAACTGTTTCTTATGTTTCAGCAGCATCCAAAGGAACTGCAGGTTCTGAATGAAACACCAGGTATATAACAGGAATGAGTTATTGATTTGAGCTTGTGAAGCACTTCCAGCCACACAAAAAAAAAACCTATTGTAGGTGCAAACCCTTTGTCACAAACGTCAAATCACTACAAGTCAGCACAGCGTGGTGTTTCATATTAGTATCTAAAAAGTGTGTTAACCAGACATCGCTGCTTAAAAATATAGATTGTTAGGTACTTTGACTTGGCAATCAAACACGGTAACATCAATATCTAACTAATGCAGCAGGGGTTGCCACATTTATTTTTGGAAGAGTTCCTGTATGCCTTCAATAGCTGTGTGTCAAGCAGAACATCAGCAGGTGACCAATGGCCAGTCTAGAGCTGATGGTGAGAGGGCCCATAGCTCATTGGTAGAGCACATACTTGACATGCAAAGATCCTAGGTTCAGTTCCCACTATCCCCAACCAACATGACTGTAAAGGACCTCTGGCCAATCCTTGCAAGGCTCAGCACTAGTCGTGGTACCTACAGGCTCAGTATTTCATGGGAGGCATTGGGTTCCTCCAGATGGGCGTTTTTGCAGGCACATTCTGCAACATGTTATTTATGCAGTAATAGTGCCTTTGCGGTGAATTTATACTGGACCATCACTGTTACTGCATGCCATCTGGAAAGTTAACCTTGTGTTCTTGTGCTTTAGCACTAGAAAAGCAGGACTAACACCCCTCCCAGAACATTTGTCATATGGAAAGTTATAAGTTTTCAGCATGAAATTAGAGGACATGCACCGATTGGAAACAAAACGGTATGTCCACCCTCAACCTTTTGCAGGCATGCTATTGAAAGTGTGGCTTGTGTATTACCACCCTGATCCTACAAGGAGCACAAATCATCATGAAAACACAATAACAAGGACGTCTGGAAGGGCTCTGGGTTTGTGCCCTAGCACAACAAATCTATTTTTAAAAAGTAAGACATTTTATGGCTGAGGAAAGGGATAGCAAAATGCATTGGAAAGTTTGGATGTGTAAATGACCGACTGGAAACCAGGATGAGTGCTCAATAAAATAAATGAGATCACTGCCTGGTGCAAGTAGAATTAAACTGAATATGCTTGTTAGGATAGAAAAAACAAGACATCAAACTGCCTGAATAACCAATTGGACTTCAAAACAGTGCCCACCCACTCTCTCACCTGGGGCAGCCCTAATCCCCCCTCAGTCTTTTGCATAAAGAGAGCCCCACTGTGTACCAACAGATTCTGGCTTTTGAGCAACTGGGAACCCTTCACGCAGCAAACCCAGGCTCTTGCATGGACTGGCATAAATCATTGCCTCTGAGCAACCATAGCAAAAAATAATAAATCCTCCCACATGCTTTTTCACAAGAGTAACAGAGAAAAACAAATACAAAAAGGAAAGAGGCTGGTACCCTCACCCTCATGAAGACACTGAGATAGTAGTTCCAAGGGAGAATTCCCCCTTTGGAGCAGCCCGCTGATAGTAAGCAGCCTGTTGTGGGGTGGGCAGCAATCCTTAAATAGTGATCTCTGGGTTGAAAGTCAGTTAATAAGCCACAGCTGCTGTTTCTCTCCCCCAACCCAGTTCTGACAAGACTCACAGGCCTCAAGGCCAGCAGGGCTGCAAGGAGATTTGCTGGCCTGTCCCATCACTGTGCTCCTGATAACAAGCCGGGTCAGCATCCCATCTGAAGCTCTGTCAGTGCACCATGTCTGATAAAGAGTGTTCAATCCAGGGGTTGAGAAAAAGAGATACAAATTGACTTGACTTAAGGGCAAGAATGATATGAGCAAGCCCTGTAAAGATATCCATTCAAGCTTCAGGCTGCAATCCTGTACATATATGCTTGTGAGCAAGTCCATTGAGCCCAAAGGGCCTTACGTCTGTTTCTCATTTTTACCATATTGAATTCAGTTTTATACCTTTCTCCAACAATTTGCAATTTTTTTATAAAAAAAATCCTCATGAAAAATCCTCAGCATTTGAGTGTGAATTTCTCATAATAAACACAATTTTACATGCTGTTTTGACTACTGTACACATTTTTGCAAGCGATTTCCCCTGTATAATGCATTTTTGTATTTCTTTCACAAATAAGTTCACATTTATGCACACTTTCCCATAATACATACATTTTTGTGGACATTGGTTGGAGAACTGCATTACAACAGTCAGATAAATGTGAATTTGAGGATGACAGGGTTTCTGTTCTCATGTTATTTCAGAAAGTTTAAATTTGATAAATTCAGTTTTGAGTGAAAATGGAATTTCTCCCCCACCACAACCTTCTGAGTAAACACACAAAGAACTGTGCTGTAAATATATTAGTTGCAAATATATGAATATTGTCAACTGACGGTTCAGACATTACCAGAGAAAAAATCATTAGCCACTAATCACAGGTGATGTTTTATTCCAATAAATACCACAGTGGTAACTGTATTCACAGTCACTTGCTGTGCTATCTCTACACGTTAGTTACCGTACTTAATCACTTGTTTGCTTAAGTCATGTTACTTGGTGATTTGAATTCTCCTTCCTGTATCAATTGAATGTATTGTTTTTGAATAGTGTTGCTTCTTCTCTCTGAAGGTTATTGAGAGGTCTGACCTGGACAATATTTTACCACAACAGGAAGATAGACCTACCTCTTATCTCCTACCAGTAAATCCCAATCTCCTTTTCCCCCACATCTGCCCTAAACAACTGTCCCCAGTGCAGGGTTATTCTTATATGGCCCATAGAAGAGGTCAGTCTATGCTTTGGTTAATGCAACACATACTTTTGGGTTATCAAATGTGAACTTGTTTAACTACATTGCATCATTAGTCTAACCAAAGTCTCACAAAAGGCAGGCAGGATTTCTTTCAATGGAAAATATCTGTGTGCAGAACTTCTTAGAGGCCCCTGTCTGAAAGTGTCGCTCAAAGTTCTGGAAAAAACATAGTGGTTTCTCCCCAGGAAGTCTATGGCTTTCAGTAGCTGGTGAGACTATGAAAGTAATGGTTTCAAGAGAGACATCTTTGTCTTCAAATACAGTTAAATGCTATTTAAAACCAAGGCCATGGTTTATTTTTAGGGTTGTATGCTATTTTAGTAAAACTAAGGGTGATATACAAGGTTAGTCAGACTCAAAATAGATCTATTGAAACCAATGTGCAGTTACTGATGCCCATTGGTTACAATGGCTCTGCACATGATTCAATTGGAATGTCACCCTAAGTTAATTGATTAAATTTGCATAAAACCTCACATACAAATAACATTTCTGAAGGAAACAACATGTTTAGTTTTTTAGATGAGACACTCATTTGTCATAGCAGGCATAATCTTAAAAAGACATTTCCTCTTGCGTGAGGTAGAAGGACACATGTCTCTCTTAAGGTAACACTTGCCACAGTTTTTATAGGTATTTGTATTAAAACTATTTTTAAAAAATATAAAGGAAAACAAAAATCTTCTGCCCAATAAATTGGGGGTAACCTTTCAGTTAATGAAAAAGCTATATGAAAAAGTTAGTAATTATGTACAGAGCAATCACATACATGCCTTTTTAGAAGTAAAGCCTATTGATTTCAATGGGACATACTATCAGACATATTAGTATAGAACTGCAGCCTTCAACTGATCAAAATCCAGAGCTTATTATTACTTTATTAGAACCAATGCAACATGTTACAAAATATGGCCAACAAAAATGTTGTAATAATGGTATGGCCCAATTATGGATTTTGATTCCCCCCCCCCTCAAGTGGGTCAACATGGATCAAAAAGCACAGGAAGCAAATTAAATGTTGCAGCCTTATTCATTTCTTTGTTCTTAATAGTCCAGCAGGTCTCTCTGTGTTATATGCATCCCTAGCAGAATCTTGGTTTTGCTAAGTGAGAGACAAAAATCGGCAAATGTTGATTAGTGAGCACATGCCCTGAGTCAGCTGTGACTGAAATTAGGGTGGCCAACTTTTTAACCAGCCTCTGCAGCTGGGGCTTTAAAAGTGGCTCCACGTGTGGCATGAAGATAAATATCATCTGCTCCTTGCTGCCTAGCCCAGGTTTACAAGCACAGCTGCAGAAGCTTGTTGAAAATTGGCAGACCTCCAGTCATCCAAGCATACTTCCAGTGAGTTCACATCCTTTCTTAAAGGGGCTGCACTAGTTAACAGTTCATTGCCTAGTCCATTTTAAGGGGCTGCTATTGGTATAAAGAGTCCTAAATGACTTGGGCCCCAACTATCTGAAGGAGCACTTCCTCTCATTTCACGACCTGCTCCTTGCTGCCAGTCCCAACTGTGGTTGTCCCAAGTTTCAGACAGGGTTATTTGCCAGCCCTATCTGGTGATGCTGGAGAGTGAACCTAGAGTCTTTTGCATGCAAATCATGTAAACTATGGATCCTCCCCAAGTGCGTATCTTTCCTTTCTTCTTTCGGTTATTCGCTCCTTTGAAGTAAAAGCAAAAGTTTGCATATTTCCCTTCCACTTTGGGACCCAGCTGAGACAGGCACGACAGCACTTTTCCCTCTCACGCCGTTGGGCCCGCTCTCACTTAAATTGCCCCCCACCTCACTGAACAACCCTTTACCCAAAGGTCTCTTTCCCTTTCCCCTTGAAATTTTAGCCCAGAGAATCCTGCGTGGGATCTTTGTGAGGGGGTAACTAGTAAGTTGGAGTCTCAGACTGGTTTTCTTTAAATAAACAATAAAGATTCATTTAAGGCAAGATAGTAAATCACTCAAAGGGATTCAACTTAGGTTGCTTCAGGAATACAGTGTGATTTCTCTTGAATTTGTCCTCAGAACAAAGGGCTCTCCACACCCCCTCCCTTCACTGAGTCTGGGAGTTTATTCTTTTCCTTAGAAGAATCTCTCCCCTCCAGACTAGAGTCCCAAGTAGGCTGTTCCTTTCCAGCTCCTACTTCTCCTGGCTCAACCTCTGCCTCCCAGTAAAATTCCAGTCTATTCCTCCTACAGGACACCACATTCTGTCCTTCACAATATGCTTAGAGCGGAAGCTGTTTCCCTCCCAGAACCAGCTCTTTCTCCCATTCACTCTTTATACCTCAACCTGTCTCCCTACCTATCTCCCAACCTCTCCAACCTCCATAATTCCAACCCTCTCAACTCCCACAACTAACTGTCTCTTTTCAAATCCTTTCCTTTTAAACTCTCCCTCCTGGAACCACGGCTAATCAGAGGCTGCCGTTTGTTAACCATTTGTTGGCAGGGAAGAATGTGGGGTGGGGGGGAGAAAAGAAACACTTGTTGATCCAACCTGTTCAGCAAAAGCAGGGGAGGGAGTAGAGGGTGTCTCATGTGCAGTGTATGCATAACATGCCCACCCCCCTGCCTATATCCTGCGCTATATGGAGCGATTTCCATTCCCCCTTCTACTCATTCATCATCATAATGATGCCGCCACGGTGGTGGGAAATGAGAGCAGTCAGACGTGAAAAGCCTCTTACTGTATTTCTGGCTCGTGGCTTGTCAAGATCCACAATTTGAAATTGGATTCAGAAATTAGGAGAGGCTGCACTAAATGAGTGTTATTGTTGTCTTAATGACAGAAAAATGTGAATCCCCACAATGCAATGCATGTTCTATGTGAATCCTTCATCAGAGGCTCCACTCAAGAGTGCTTCGATTGGAGGTGGAGGGCTCTCACTGTCACACTTCAAATGCATCACTTGAACACATCTTATATTTTCTTTCTTAAAAAAACAATGAAGAGAGGGGAATCGTAGCCCACGTCCCGTGGTTGTTAGAGAAGAAGCCTTGGTGTCTACTCTGTTTCCTGTTTGCATCTACAAAGATTTAAACTTGCGCTTCAGGTGCCCATATTGACTCAAAATTGGGCCAAGTAAACGCACCCCGCATAATCTGCAAAGTTATCTCAACTCTGAAACCTTTTTTGTTTCTATTCGGGTGAAAGTGCTGAATTTATGAACGGCAGGAAATTGAAAGGTATGTACCTTTTCCTCATTACTGGTAATTTGGGGCATGCTAATTTAGGCTAATTATTTTTGCAGAAGGTTACAAATCTTATGGTTCAACACTTGCATTAATTATTATGATGACTAGTTATTATTGTCATCTTCATAAACCTTAGATAATCTCAAATTAGGTGGAGGAACAATTCCATTAATATTGGTAGGTACAATTAATGTTTGTGCTTTATAATTGCTACCTGATCTAAGGGACCGCTGCTTTTTATGCTGTGCCTTTTACCTTCTGAAGCCACGCAGCTTGAATATTAAAAACCCAATTAACTGTGTTCTGATTAACTGCTGTTTAAAGATACCTTTCAAGAGATTCAGACCCTTTTTAAGATGTTCAAGCCTATCTTGAAAGGTCATCAAGGTGATTACTTTGTTTACACCAATTTTATATTGTTCAGTAACTTGCAGGAAGAAACTACTGTATGTGTGTTTACTCACAGAAGGAAGTCCCACAGAGTTTCTCAGTAGGCATAGGATTGCTACCTTAATGGATTTGCTTTTGGTAAGGGTCACTGCTACAGGAACTTATTTATACTGCTGAGGGTTTGGAGAAAATGTTTTCTTTGTTTTTAGGTAAAGGTAAAATTATAGGTGCAGTATTAAGCAGATTCTACTTTCATTTGCCTGGTATGTAGTGAGTAGAAAATAAACTATAGTCTTTTCATTCAAAGGACTATGGTCCCTGGATGCTTCACTCTCCTAGCCTTTTTCTTAAGCAGGTGCCTAAAAGACTGTTAGCTATGTCCACACTTCCATATATACTGTGTGCTGCCACTGCTGGTTTGGGACATCACATACACACAACATTACGCCACAATCCATATCTTATGAAATACTGTTTGATGTGTTTCCTACCGATCCAACTTCAGTCTAAATTGAGAAAAATATGACCTCTCTGTTTTAAGTCAGTAATGTTTAAGCAGGCTTAATCCTAAAGTTCGCACGCTACCTGTTTCTGACCCAATATACTGAACGTAGCAGTGTATTTAGCCTGAGTTGCTCATATTCGTTTTAATTTTATTAGGTTCTACAAGGCTTTTTTTCGAGCCAGAACTTAGTTCCAGCACCTTTCAGGTGGGCGCCATTGACTTCCAGCTGTAGAGGCATAGAAAAGTTTTCATGAGCTGCTTGAAAGATGCCAGTGGAAACTACTGAAAACACTCCTGTTTCTTCTGCATCCAATGTGCTCCCACTGTTCGTCTTGGAGGCAGTTGTTCACACAGAAGCCATATCTATCCTGTGGTTTCTTATGAAATACTGCATTTGGATGGTTTTCCCCAGTGCTATTGTTCTAGAAAAATAGGTGCCGGAACTCACAATGAATGCCTCCCTTGTTTCTCTTATAATGGCCACGGTGCCCACCTGAGAGGTGCCGGAACTGAGTTCCAGCAAGTTCTTGTTTGGGAAAAAAGCACCAAACCAGTTTTGTTCCAAACTGAGAAAAAGAATAGCCTAGCTGCATTTTAAACTGGGCAGTGTATACACAAACTAAATACCTGACTTCTTGCTGAAGCCAGCTAGGCTACTACATGGGGAACAAATAACAAACCTTCCTCCAGATGTTCTCAGCAATCAAGCTGGATTAAAAGGACTCACTCAATAGGCCCTCAAGTTTTCCTGGGCACAAGTTATTGCGGGCTTTGTATGTAAACACCTGATCTGCACTTGTTCTACAGGATCAACAGCATTATGTCAGATATAATAGACACCTTGTTAATTACAGCTTCCATAACATACTGGCCTAAATATCTCTTCAGGCCTATTCAAGCCCTACGGCATCCTCACAAAATTGCTCTATATTTTGCATTTTATTTCCCTTTGACCTCACTGCTTACATAACCTCTATGTGCCTGCCAGCTTAGGTTAACTCTTCATGCATCTCATGACGTGGACTCTGTTCCACAAAACCATATGTCATAATCAATTCATTAAACTTTAAGGTGCCACAAAAAATATTTGCTATTCCTGCTGCAACAGGTTAACATAGCTGCCCACTTGGAAATTGACACCAAACAAGAACAGGCGGAGATACTAATTAATTCAGGTTGCAGTTCTGTACTGCACATACTTCTCAGGGAGCAATCCCTATGGAATTCAGTGGAGCTTACAACTGAGACCTCAGGGAGCCCTTCTGAACCAATTTAAGACACTTGAGTGCTAAGTACTGATAAAAGTGCAGTGTTTAAGTATCTGCTGCTTCTTTGCAAAGGGAGAGAACCAGAACAGGTGGAGGCTGCACACCTTGTTTCCCAGCAGAGAAACAACCGTGTCAGTGTGAGCCCCTTCTGTACCAACGACAGACAATTTTCAGTTTAGTTAGGTGCTGAGTATTTGTAGATCTGCAAGTATCCACACTGTCTGTGCAAGGGAGGAAAATCGAGAGAAAATCAGGACAAATGGCCCTATTTCAGAGTCTTCATTGGCCACACCCCATGACTTTGTAGCAGCCCTGCCAGCTCTAATGGGCACCAAGTGGCCCTGCTAAGCAGCATGCGTCTGAAAACATAGACGTTCAAGGGAAGCTTGGTCTGAAAATGGCTGCTCGTTTCTTTCATTTTGTTCCTGGATTTGTTGTACAAAATGGGGGCAAGAGAGACTGGAAACGAAAGTGGAAGACTTAAGACCTGTGCACTGCTCAGGGGAGAGGATTTTCTCCCCAACCCTTTCAGCCTGTGCCATTTTTCTGCTATAGATCCTACCCCCAGCCCTTTGTCTGTAGCTCAGTGGTCTAACTGATGCTTTGCATGCAGAAGGCTGCAGGTTCGAGCCTTGACATCTCCAGGTAGCCTAGGAAAGATGGACGCACCACTGCCATCCAGGGTAGACAGTGCTGAGATAGATGGACCAACTCCTTCCTCCTATGTCCTGCAAGTGAGGCATTTACATATGTTGTTTGTGCAGCAAACATGTGTTGTTCTTTCCCTAAGGGAAGTACCTTGAAAAGAGAACCAGAGGGCTCTGTGCATTCCACTATTCTGTAGCTGCATTGCACAAAGACCAAAGTTGGTCTTGACTCGAGTGCGTAATGAGCCATGGCCTACCCACACCTTTTCTTCTTCTAAAAATAGAGCACCTTTAACGTTCATGAAAATAAACATGAAAGGGTGTGGTCAGGGCCTGTAAAAACCTCAGAAGCCAGGGTGGGCATGGCGACTGAATGTGCTGTTGAGCAGGATTTCCAGTGGTAAGAGGTTTATAGCACACCCCACAATTATAGGTACAAAAACCAGAATGGGGTGGGGGTGGGGGACATAGATGGACAGACCACATCGATGGGGCGGGGAGAGAGGTGTTTATTTTCAATCCTCCTCCTGGTTGCCCAAGCCACTCTGAGTGGCTTCCAACACATATAAAAACATAATAAAACATCAATCATTAATTGTAACAATCTGATCCGATATAGAAAGTCACAATAATTATGAAGTGTGTGTGTATGTAAATGTTGTTTTAATTTTAATATGTGTAAATATTTTTTTTTATTATAGAAATGGACTGTTTTCAATGTATCCCTTGCTGGGTACCTCTTGGTTTTGTAACGACAATTATGATTATTTCCTTGGCGAAGAATGTATCGTACTACTTGAAGGAAAAGAAAAGGAAAAGTAAGAGGCGGTAGATTTTTTGGCTTATGAGATCCTTGTGCTTCATCCAAAATGCTGGCGTATGATTGCTAACAGGAGTGATATCCTGACAGCATATACAGTAATCCCTTTGCTCAGAGACCTGTGTTGGTTTGCTGATCTGCAACCAAGCCAAGTTCAAGGTGTTATTAGTAGTATATAATTCCCTTAGCAGCTTGGGACCAGATTACTTGTGAGATCGCCTGACCCCCATATATATCATCTCAACCATTTTATGATGTTTGTTCCACATTTGCAAGAAGTTCTGTTGGTGTGGCAACACTCACACTTCCTGCATATTGATACCAGGCAGGTGCCTTCTCTGCACTCTTTTTGGTGCCTGCTAAAAACCTTTTTTTTTTTGTTTGTTACATAGCTAGACATGTAGAATGCTGAGATGTATCTAGTCTGGTTTATAGCTTATCATTCATTTTAATTATGTTTTAAATATTTTCAGTTGGTTTTAACTGTCCCCCCCCCCATTGTATTATTCTTTTTATATCTCACTTTGAGGCTTTACAACAATCAAGCGTATATAAATCTTGTAAAATAAATAAAATAGTTACTAGAACTCTGTAAAATGGTTTCCTCCCTAATGCGACCAAAGCTTCAGTTATCCAATATAATAATGGGGAGAGTACCAGTGTTACATAAAATCACAAATATTTATTCAGCATTTCCTTTCAGTGCCAAGGAATTAGGCTAGATTTGAGCAAAGTTAAATGCTATTTTTTCTTAAGTAAATGTCATCTGTGTTTAGATTGATCAGTTTGTAATTCATATACAAAAATAATACACGTTAAAAATGCCATAGTAAGTTTTCAATAATGTGAGGAGTAATGAGAGCTCAGGGCTAGAACACATGCTTTCTATGCAGAAGGTCACAAATTTTATTTTCAGAGAGGTTGGACTACATGATCCTCTTGGTCCCTTCCCACTCTACAATTCTATGACTTTGCTGTGTTTTAAGTCACTCTGTGATATTGGGTGTGTAAGTGAGACTTTGTTGTTGCCAATCATAGCAGACTCTGAAGACTATACTGGGCTTTAGGGACCCATATTCTTCTCTCTGTGTAAGTCTGCTTCCTGTGTGGAAGGGGAGCAGGTGGCGCTGTGGTCTAAACCACTCAGCCTCTTGGGCTTGCCAATTGGAAGGTCGTCGGTTCGAATCCCCACAACGGGGTGAGCTCCTGTTGCTCTGTCCCAGCTCCTGCCAACCTAGCAGTTCGAAAGCATTTCAGTGCAAGTAGATACCGTAAATAGGTACTGCTGTGGCTGGAAGGTAAACGGCATTTCTGTGTGCTCTGGTTTCCATCACAGTTTCCCGTTGCTCCAGAAGCGGTTTAGTCATGCTGGCCACATGACCCAGAAAGCTGTCTTTGTACAAACGCTGACTCCCTTGGCCAGAAAGCCACATGAGCACTGCAACTCTATAGTCGCCTTTGACTGGACTTAACCGTCCAGGAGTCCTTTACCCTTTTTTACCTAAGTCTGCTTCCTGTGTGGAACTAGAAGTCTGGAATTAGTCTGAAATTAATCTGGACATGATCACAAAGAGCTGCGCTCCTGCGACTGTAAATGAGAAAAGGTAAATTCTGCAGGCAAGACAGGTTGGAAAAACGTGCTTTGGAAATTATAGGAACTATTTTATTTTTGTATGCATTCGAATAAGAGGGATGGTGGAGTCTAGCTGGTCACCTGTGGGAGAGTTCAACCAAGGACGATTGGGTTAATTATTATTAAGTTACTTTGCACATACTAGATATCCTCAGTTCTGGTTTTACTATGCATTTTGATCACTTAATTTGGGATCTTAAAGGTTTTAAGAAAGCTTTGCTCTTGCACACTTTTACTACAGAGTTGCTTAGACACAAGAAAATGTACAAAAATATGGATTAAATGAAATTATTAAGGGGATAACATCTAAACGGGAGCTGTTAAATTTAGGCTGCTGTGCCTAATTACTGACTTGAAAGGTGTAAGTCAGGAAAGATTTAAAATAATAAAACAGCTTTATAGAAGATGAGTTAAATGAAGGTGTGAAATGATTTCCTAATTGACTCAAAATATTTTCCAGATAAAATATATGAAGACTATCAGCAGTACGACCCAAGGTATGGCAAATGTTTTCTTTCCTTTTTTATGGGTAAAAAGTGATTGGGCTGGTATGGAAAGTTATCTTGATTACATATAAATACAAATATTTATTTAAGACATTTCTGTACGGCTTTTCACATCATTCACATGATTGTGAACAACTTTAAAATTGCAAGATTGGTATTAAAACTGTCACATATAAAATGCAGCTGAAACCTTGTCCAGAGTTAACATCAATAGTCAACCTACTGAAAATGAAGCATTAGCAAAAGCGTGAAAGCATGGAATTTTTAATGTGACAAAAGGACCTTAATGTTGGTGCTTGTCCAATTTAGTGGGGGGCGGCGAGTGGTTCCATAGATTGGGCACCACCACCAAAAAGGCCATCACCTCCTCGTGATTGCCAAACAGAACTCTATCAGCTGTAGCACAACCAAACTCTCTTGCATTGTGGCATACAATATAGCTATAATTTCTTTTATAGCTCTGGTGAGTTCTATACTGAAGAATGCCCTGTTTATGACAACCTGAATCATCATCACCATCAAGACATACTAAGTAAGTTGAGCTTAAGACGTCTGCCTCCTGCACTTAGGATAATATGTCAAAGCCTTTATTGTGAGAGTAAGCAAAGATTTGAATATTTTTTATTTTTATTGAAAAGGAACAGACTATTGCAGTATGTTTAGCACAGCTGAATACAACGTAGCTGGGTACAATGTTCAAAGGTGCAGTTGTATACAATATATACAGATACATTTAGATTTGAAGATTTTAAAAGCTCCCCCCCACACACAAGAAATTAAATGCTGATACCTGGACGCCTGTCTATCATATTATTTTAACAGCCCAGGGAATATTCTAAATGTATTTTCATATTTTATGACATGTTTAAAACGGCCATATTGTAGATTCTAATTAATTTGCTACAGCTCAGCGCAGGATATTTAAATGATTGGTAGCATTACTCAACTCTTTTTTTAAAAAAATGTTCTGTTTCATACAATCTCCAGATGAAAGCTGCTATGAACAAATGAATGCCCACCCTCACACATCTGCCAGTGAAGTACAGGTATTACTATGGAGACTTGCTTTCTAGAGAAGGTTGACATTTTGCATCGGAGCTGTTTGTGTGAATGTAAATGCCAGAATCGTATGCTCTGATACTCTTCAGTTGTCAGCTTGGTGCCCTTCTACTAGCAGAAGGCCTCTTCTGACCTCCAGGAAGAATGTTATTTAATAAAAGTCCCTTCCTCTCCCCGCAAACCAGTCTTTATGTTTGCACAAAGCTCTTTCCACAACCTTTCTGAGGCCCCCTATTTGCACCTAATTCAGATGTTTTAAGGTGCTGCGCTTCAAGTCATCTTCTGCTAGTGCTTCTGCAAAGGTTCACTGAATAGCCCCAATACATATTCTCCTTATACTCCAGTTATTGCGTTTACACTTAAAGTCTTTATAAACAGTTATTAAGCACCACCAGTGTGCATGGCACTATACAAAGTGTTGTTGTTTTTTTTAAAAAAAGTTGCAAACCTAATAGTAAGACAAATAAACAATGGCTCCATTCACACTAGTTTGTTCTGTTTTCTTTACATTTCCCTCACTCTTATTTTGCGCATTATATTTGAGCTTTCACACGAGGCACTTCTGAGAAACTAATGGAGCAAGTTTCCCGCTCATTTCTGCTTTAGGTGATTCTGGAAAAATCCATTTGCAGCCTCCTTAACCTGGGGGTTTTGTGCAGTGATTTCCCAGCCTTTTTCATATGTTCATGCCACAGCCACTCATGTGACGAGCCATGAGGTGGCATACTGGCATGCACTGTGTTACCTGCCCATTGCAAGGTGTGTACCTTTCCCCCTTTTGCCTGACGAGAAAGTGTGCCAGTGTTTTGGCACAGAAATCCATTCTAGGTAAAGCCTAGAAGAATGGCAGAAAGCAGAGAGAAAGGAATAGCGTGGAGGAATGACAAGGGTGAATGACAACATGTCGGTCACAGAACAGGTGTGTTCAGTGTGAAAGTTAGAAAAGGGGACAGAAGCGCTGGCCTTATAATCTGTTAAACTAATGTAATAAACCCCACATACTGCAACCTCATAGGTTCTTTTAAAAATAACTACAATCCCATGACTAAATAATATGAATTACTTATTCTTTGCCTTTTTGTAGCAGACAGCCGAGCGTCAGATGTGCTATGCTTCCTTGGATCACAGTGTCAGGAGGAAACACAAAAACCCTCGAAAAAAGAAATATCCTACCTTGGAAGTGGATGAAGAACAACTCACCAGAAGCAGCAACTTACCCTCAGACTCCTGCATTTACCTCAACAGTGAACAACTGAACGCTGAGAATAAACTGTCTGAGGATCCAACTCATGATGATCCTCACAGACTATTTGGGTTAATTCACACTATGAATGATGCCAATTTTTAGTAGGAATTTGGCCCAGCCGAGTTAATGTAGCTGATAAAATACTTGGAAAACAACTGAATAACTGGGTTGATACCAGGTAGCTTAAAAACTAATTAGCTGAATAGGAAGGATGTTTGTTCAGTAATAGCTCTACATTTATCTGACCTTGGCCTAGCAGGGTCCATTGCCAAGTAGATGGTCAACTGAGAAATAATATACTGTGTGTGTGTGTGCGTATATATTTATGGGGACAGGCTGGCACTATGGTCTAAACCACTGAGCCTCTTGGGTTTGCTGATTGAAAGGTCAGCGGTTCGAATCCCCGCGACGGGTTGAGCTCCCGTTGCTGTCCCACCTCCTGCCAACCTAGCAGTTCGAAAGCACACCAGTGCAAGTAGATAAATAGGTACCGCTGCGACAGGAAGGTAAACGGCGTTTCCATACACTCTGGCACTCATCAGTCCTCCATGTGCCAGAAGTGGTGTAGTCATGCTGGCCACATGACCCAGAAAACTGTTGGACTGCTAGATCACATCAACTTCTTAATGGGAGACTTGACTGAACTGAAACTCTGTCTGACAGGGTGCTTATGTAGATAAGCCTGATTCACACAGGAAATTCCTTTTCTCCCCTCATACTGTTTCAGAGCTGACCCCATTCCCATAAACATGTATGTACAAACCAGGGCACGTAGCTATGTAGCTAGAGCACTAGTCCATAAAAGGAAGCCCTTAGGTCAGGCATAGGCAAACTCCGGTCCTCCACATGTTTGGGACTACAATTCCCATCATCCCTAACTAACAGGACCAGTGGTCAGGGATGATGGGAATTGTAGTCCCAAACATCTGGAGGGCTAGAGTTTGCCTATGCCTGCCTTAGGTCTTATACCGGAAAGACTAAAGTGTTGCTAACTTTTCAACATGAACCTTGTCCATCCATTATGCATTTAGGATTTGCCACATTGTACATTTAGTAACACCATGCATATTGTGTGTCTAGTAACACGGTGCGATATTTAGGGCTAATTAGTGAATAATGTTAACAGCTTTGGTTCATCTAATTAACACTTGTACAACGAGCAGATTTAATGTCCACATATGTTTTGTTTCCTGCTGATAAGTGCTGCTAGAGCCGATTCCTATTGCTCAATGAGTGTGTAATGTCTTGTGCATCTGAATTCAATTGTCTGGAAAGAAAGGGGTAAATGAGGTGTACAAATAAATCTCCAAGGAAGAATTTGACATTCTTCTAGGTATTTGAATTATGACTACTGTCTTTTTACACAGTAGTCTGTTTTATAATCTATTCCTTATTATTCCCCAGATATACTCACTTAGCTTGGTCTAAGGCTGTATCTGGTAATAAATTTTTAAGATTTTTAAAGTCCGGTACTGAAAAAAGAGTTGCAGTTAAGCAAATTTAATCCTATTGAAATTGGTGAGTGGCACATAAGTGCAGGCTGTTGGGAAAAAAGGCTGGTTGATTTAGGATTGTGTCTAATTGTAGCCTTGATGACCTGACACATCTTCTACTAGCCGAGACATCTTTTGTTAGTTTAATGGTAAATATTTAGAGATGACATTTGCTCTAATTTTGTCCCCTTTGCCAAAATGTTTATTCAAAGTTATCCTCACCTAATGACCTAATCAAGTAAATTAAGAAGTTAACATTGTTGTTAATTCATGCTTGATCTGTAGAACTGCACAAATGCTAGTATATATTTGCCAGGCCATCTGGCAGCCCTTAGCATGCCAAATTTCTGTGCTGCCAAGCGTGTCTCAATAAGTAGTTCAGGATAAGTCTGCACTCAGTTGGATGCACTGTAAAAACTACAGCCAGGCATTTTAATTTATTTTTTAATATGGGAGTGCAGTGCAACTTTCAAACAGCAGGAGAAACTAGCCATTTACATGTAAATAAATACATTCATTACAGCAATCATATAGTGCTACCTTTCATCAAAGCCCTGTCTGAAAAAGTCTCTAGGATTTTATCTAAAAGAATGCCAGGTCAACGCACATTTCACTAAGTCCCACAGTAGAAATTTTGAAAGGCATCTTAAATGATGGAAGTATAGATATATCGGATGACAAGCTGCCATATTATCATTGTAATATACTGCTGCCCCAAAGCACTGGTATGTGCCATTATATGCTCTTATGTATTGAATACAGCTTACTGTTTATAAGGCGTTCCTCAAATGTCCAATGTATTTTGTGTAAAATAGGCTAGAATAATTTATTCAGTATTATCAAGGGGAAACTGATAGCTAAGGCACCAAGATCAATGAATCCAAGAATTCCCTATTTGTAGTTCATAATAACCACTAGTGCCAGATTTGGCTTTGTGGTAGAAATGGGTAAGGAAGCTCTGCTGGAGCAAAAAATGACTGTGCGCACATAAAAACAGAAGATTCAGCACCCACATTGTCTAGTCATTTCTCTGCTGGGAAATTTTTCCTTCCTGGGCTTACATGGTAAAGCAGCAGCAGCAGCTGGATGCAAAACTGAAATGGATATGGTAGGATGAAAGTTCTATCTCTACTGTCATGACCACTACTTTCTGCATTTCTAGAAATTTAAGAAATAGGACTGCAAGATTAAGGCTGCAATCCTTAACATATTTCTTCCCCGCTAGGATGTTGGTGACTAAAAAAGGCTGCTGCTTATTAACAAAAAGGAAACACAGAGCTATAAAAGTTAATCTGCTAATGGAATGTAACAAAATTCACACAACATATATAAAGGTTTATTAGGCAATATAAGTGCCAAGTACTCGTAGATACATACATTAAAACACATTTGAAGCATACTATATTACATTATAAATCTTCACAAATTTAGCAGTTTCAACAATGGAATAAAGCTCTGCTCATCCCTAGAGTAGCTCACTGAATAGTAAATTAAATGCATTAAATAGCCTGTTAAAACATTATTTCTACATTAAGAGTTGATTAGCCAAGCAAAACACAATAGCAATAGCTGAAATTACACCTGCAGAAAACAAAAAGAGCATTTGCTTCCATAAATGACACTCAAGCAATGATAAGCCTTCAAGAAGGAACAGTGCTTTCCCTTAAGACAGATAATACTTTGGCCCCTAGATGCAAACAGCTGCATTAACTGAATTCCAGAAACAGATCCTTGAAGGATACGCAGCTCTCATATGACAAAACATATCTGCAATAGGTTAGATAGTGAATTAGGGTAAGAATCATGGAACATGGCGCTCTCAGCTCCCTCTTCCCTCTGGAGATTCCTGCACCCTCCTGAATTCTGCTTCAGAGGGTTGAAGGAACATCTGGAACAGATGTGGTGGTACTGGTGAATAACATAGGGAAAAGCATAACTGGTGAAAATTCCCTTGCTTCCATTCGTGAAAGGTCCAATAGATTCAAGTTCTTTTCATAAATGGAAGGGAACTTTTGCATTCAGTCAAACAGCTTTCCCCTTAAAAATCATGAATCTTCCCTGTAGTCCAGAAATGAACTTTCATAGTCTTCACACAGAAGTTCTTCCACATAAGCATTTCTTCTTCTGATTCTCCCACCATGATAGCTGAGCCTTCTGGAAACCCTGAAAAGTAAAGAGGATCTTGTCTGTTCAAAATAGTGTTGGAAAGGTGCAGTAAAATGAACTGGCAGCAAACAAGTTCTTCCCAAAGACTAGGATATTTTTTGCTGTTTCAACGGAAATAAATAATAATAAAAACAACACATTTCCCTCAATCTCCAGCTCCTTGCATAATACTTTGGTGAATATTCATGGTGTTTCAGATAAATCTGTACAAAATATAATCCATTGTATATCACATAAAAAGAGTGCAGTAAGTAAAGAGACTTCATATTAAAGTTACTAATTTTAAACCCCACAAAGTGCTGCAAGCTCATAAGCATGCTATAGGTGCAGTAATTTCAGGAACTCTCTCAGTAATGGCATTATTTTCACTGTGGTAGACAGCATCTATTGTCTCTAGAAAAGCATTAACCATTTGGAGATGACTCCTGACTAATGCAATAAAACACCAATATAAAGTAACTCTTCAGTCATCCCTGAGTCATATACAAAAAAGTTGTGCTCATAATGGACTTCCTGCATTCTTTTAAATACCTTTCCAGTTTCCAAACCAACCCCCAATATTTGGCACACTACTGCCAAGACCATATTTCTCAAAAAGGAATCAGCACTGCAAAGGGGAGGGAAGAATGTATTAAGCCAACTTGACAATATGCTATCTATTATAATACCAATAAATACTACACGGAACCACACTACCTTCAGGACTGGGCTACCAAATTTCATCTGGTCCTAGCAAACTTGAAAGGAGCAAATTTAACACATTCATGTCAAACATCCAAAAGTTATTAACAACCAATAAGTGGTCAGTTAGATGCCAGTCACATAAAGCACCAATGTGCAAAGTAGATTTTAAGACAAGTTACAGTGCAAGTCCTTCAACTCATCTTAGGTGTAGCTTATAGGAAACCATTATTGCTTCTCCTCATCATATACTTTCACAGAGAAATACAGCAAAGGGATACTGAAAAGGAATTCAGGTGATACTTAACGGTGATGTATAGTTCTGTGATTTTCTTAGGGAATCACTATTTTGCACAAACGTGGGCATCTTTTCATCCACACTTGTAATTCTGGATTCTGTGATGAGATTAGATGCAGTAAGTAAAGCAAGAAATTTGCATGGAAATTATAAAAAAGCCATTTCTATACCACTTTATATTTTTAAGAAAAATCTCAAAGCGGTTTATAGAATATTAAAACATCAATAAAACATCAATAAAGCCATCTGAAGAAAGTCAAATACAGAGTATAGAGTCAAACCAACATAATTAACAGAAAATTAAACTATTATCTTAAAGATTTCAAAATAAAACATTACAAAGGAGGTCAACTACAGAATACGTATTTAACGCAAACAAAGTTAACAAAAATATTTTAAATACTTTAAATCTTAGCAGGGTGAATAAATAAAAGTGAATTACAATGTTTTTGTAACTTGCTGGGAGCAAGTTTAACTGTTTGACAAAACGGGAAACAATGGTTAATTGGAGACTTCCTGATTTAACTGCAGCAATAATGAAGAGAGGTGCAAAGGGATGTCTGTACAAGCAAAATGATTCTGTATATCTCAACTTCCCCAGTTTAATTTAAGAACTTCAGAACCAATACCCAAATTAAAAACAGACAAACCCAGATAATAATCACTGCAGCAGATGTGAGCATCACTCAGACATTAAAAATTACTGCTTCTTCCTTTAGAATGAGTGGAGAAGGAACTTGCAGTTTCTGGGATGTGCCTGCAAATTTTTAAGAGTCCATGTAGCACTTTAAGTGTTCTATCACAGTTCTCATGCTTTTGCTTGTGTAAGATGTGACATACATAGAACATTTTGGTTTTACAGTGCAATCCTAATCATGTCTAATAAGCGAGTCCGATTCCATTCAATGGGACTTACTCACAGGGAACTGAGGTTAGGATTGCAGCCTTAGGACTTATCCACACTTACCTTTCCTCTGTTTTTTTTCTAGGCACAGTCCGTGCTTTAAAGCACTGAGTGCCCCCCCCTTTTGCTCCAGAGCTTTCTTTGTGAAAATCCACTCTTTAAAGCTCAATTGGAGTAAAGAGCAATCCTTGGAAACCCAAACAGATGTTTGCTCTGTTTGAGTGCTAAAGAGTGGGTTTCCATGGGAGAGGGACCCACATCTAGACATGGCGTTTTAAGTACAGAACTATGCCTGGAAAGAGCAGGATAAAAGTAAGTGTGAATAAGCTCTTAGTGTCCATCCTTCTTTTCACACAATGCTCTAGCCACTAGTTTTAAAAAAACAACCCTGCCACAAGTAGGACATCTTTGGGACTAACACACTGAACTGAACTAAAGGGCTACAAACAAGCCAACCAGACGAAAATACACGCAGTGGAATACTGACTGGAATATAAGAGGGGGTTTGTTTTTTTTTGCTTAGCTCTTTTTCAAATCTGGAAATCCCCCGTTTGCTTGGCTAACAGCATAACAATTCAGTAAGTCAATGCTTATGTTTGACATGTATGGATGTCTAGATTTAGGTTCAATTTTCTACTCTTGTATTTAAAATAAGCAGGCCATGTGAATGGAATATTATTTCTAAGACTGAAAAAGGTTTCAATAATTTCCATGAATATTTTAAGTTTTCCAGCTTTACCCAGTCAGTACCAGGAGCAACTTTCTTTAAAAACCTCCAACCCCCCATCCCCAAGTATTTAACAGCACTCTGTCCATCTCTATTTCCCCCCCTGGAGAAATGCCCATCAATGGACCTGGGAAAGAGAATGGGTACTTTCTAAACAATGGTTATCTTCTGCTGTGGAACACCTCCAGGCGATTCTTATTTTATTGTTCTTTTGTATACAGCTGATGCCCCCCAAAGTTTTTCAAATTAAAGCTGGCCAAGTAACTAAAGACTGGATAGCTCTTGGAATCACAAGAAATGATGGGCTAGAGAAAGAATGGGCCTCCTGTCAAAGATCTAAAGAGAGCTGCTTCAATTTCCTCTGGACAACACTTATTCGATACCATAGATTACTACTTTCTCATATTTAAAACCTACCTTTTCTACAAGTACTTGGAACAGCCATAAAGGTGTGATTTGAAGAAATACAAAACCCAGAATCCTGAAAATAAAATGTTGAAATATTAAAAATGAATCAGTTTTACAATATGGATAATCATCCAGGGATTATGTTAATCAATGTCAATTAGCTTCTTTTCTGTCTCAGTTTGCTTGCTTTATATTTGTGGTAACTGGGGGCATATTTTTCAGAAGATTGGGAAAACCTGAATACAGTGGTACCTCAGGTTACATATGCTTCAGTTTACAGACTCCGCTAACCCAGAAATAGTGCTTCAGGTTAAGAACTTTGCTTCAGGATGAGAACAGTAATCGTGCTCCGGCGGTGTGGCGGCAGCAGGAGGCCCCATTAGCTAAAGTGGTGCTTCAGGTTAAGAATAGTTTCAGGTTAAGTACAGACCTCTGGAACGAATTACCGGTAAGTACTTAACCCGAGGTACCACTGTATTACTTTTCCCCTCCCCTGCTTCATACACATTCTGTTCAGTTACCAAGATGCAAAGTGATGGTGTTCTATAGTACCATAATTCACTCAAGAGTGGGATCGGGGACACGTATAATAAGACTTCTAGCCCAGTCCTATGCAAGCTTACTTGAAACAAGTCCTGGAAATTTACATTTTATCTACTTCAGGAATCTTGTCACTGAGGGAATACTTAAGTGTCTTTCAGTTTGGAGTACTTTTTCATATATTTCAAAGTCAATAGTTTACTTACCATGTTTGAGGTCCAATTGTTGGCATTAGGAGTATGAAGTGTAAAAGTCATGTCAGTTTTCTGAAGATTGTTTTTCCAGTAAGGTAGCTTCTGATTTATTCGATAAGGTGAGTTCTCAGATATATTTTTTAATCTTTTCAACGGTGAAGTCTGAGAATCTTCAGTGCAGAAGTTTGCTGCTCTCTTAATTCTGGCAACTGCAGGTAAAGTTCTTACAGGAGAATTAACTAGGGCATTCACTGTGTCAGACATCGGGATTCCTTCATATTTTTTTAAGTTTGCAGCACGCATAAATGTAGGAATTTTTGGAAGCCCTTCAGAACACAATTTCTGATATATACTCTCAATCATATTTTTACGCTTCTGATTAAAATTTGAAGAAAGACTTTTAAAACCAAACTTGCACAGTTCTGGAGACTTCCTAGGACTTGTGCATATAGTTGAGCACTTAAATTGTTTTCGCATCTTTGAACAACAAAGCTCCTTATACATTTTTTGGAAGGCATCATCACATTTCTGGGGAGTTTTGATGGGACTGCGATTAACAGGAAGTGATGAAAATGAATGACTTCGCTGTAGTGAAACAGCTTTGTTGAATGTTTTAATTTCATGATTCCCAGGTAATCTATTTGAAGTTTTCACTGGAGAAGACTTGTTATTTTGCAAGACACAGCTTATGCCTCTATTCAAAGACAAGCTTAAACATGATGTAGCATTGAATGTCCTAGTGCTCATCTCAGTTTTATAATCTTCTGCTAGATTAAATGTTGTTCCTGTATCTACAGTGCAAATTGATGAGTACTCTTCAAATGTTTGAGCCTTTCTTCCAAAGTTTGACAATGAAGGGATATAAGATGCAGTTCTGACCAGAAATGTTTCTTCTGTAGAAAGATCCCTGGGAAAAATGGTGGACTCCACGCCATTTAGTCCGACATTCTCTGTGTATGAATGATCTTCTACGATGCCAGAAGCATCCATTTCCACACTATCTGTATTACAGTACATGGAAGATACTACTTTAGTTGCCTTGTTCAATGAGCATTGCATTTCATGATTGCCATCATACGAAGGACTAACTGGCTCATTATTTGCCATGGACAATTGATATCCCTTAGAATCATCTTCTCTAATTGTCAAGCTAGACTTCTGTTTTAATTGTCTGGACTTCCTTACTCTCGCTGTACTGGTATTAAGCTTTGTTTTCTTAGGGTGCCAATAGCCATATCTGTACCGTTTGATCAATGAATTAGAAGAAGCTTTGTGGGATGCTTTACGCAACAGTCTGCTAAGTGCCTTCACCATTCCTGGATACAAGTCTACTATTGTTACGTTATTCCAAGAACAATGCTCATCCGCAGACTCGTACATTTCCAAAAAGCTACTGCAGACAGTTTCATTTCCACCCCCAAGAGACTGATTTTCAGGCAGAATTGTCATATTGTCTGAGCCTGGAGCAGCAGAGTTGGACAGATGCAGAGATGTTGATGCAGGATGCTCATTTATAGATTCTGTTTGCTTCCTCAGGACTACATCATGGTGACCTACTAGACCAAATAAAGGGAAGTATAAGTACTAATACTTAATTTTTTTTTAACATTAAGACTATTGCTAATGATGTTCTAAATAAGCTATAATGCAAGAAATTTAAAATAAGAAGCCACTAATCACATTTTTAAATTACCTAGGATTTTCTCAGTTCCCATTGTGAAACCAGGTATTTTCTATGTGTTTTAAGAAACAATCATTGTCATGATTACTTTTAAATTAAATTTTGTAGCAGCAATTTATAATTTCACTTGATAATGAGGCAATATTTGATATTTGAATAGCTCTTGATAATGAGGCTATTTGATGAAGATACTGGCACTCTCTACCTAGTGAAATCAAGTCTACATAGCTTCAGGCACCAACTTAAGACTATTTCAGAAAGCCATCTTATGAAAATTATATATATATATATATATATATATATACACACACACACACACACACACACACACACACACACACACATATATATTTGTGAGATGACCCATTTTTATATTTGTTTCTTTAATGTATTTTTGATTTATGTCGTTTTTGTTTTAACACATAGATATATTTTTATATGATTTTGCAAGTATGCAAGTAAATAAATATATGAAACAAATTATTGGTAACCCCTTTAAAAGACCCCCAACTCTGGGGGGGGCACTAGGGGGCGCATCGGAAGATGGCTGACAATAACATCTCTCCGACCCACATGAGGTAATTTGGAGGCTATGATGGGGGTAATTAGCCTCCTTAACCCCTCCAGGATTGTGGGGGGGACGGCCCTTGCCTGCTGTGCCCTATACCACCCCGAATTTGTGGGGATGGGGGCACTAGGCACAAAGCCCTCCTGTGGGATTCCGGCACTCCTCGAAGCCGTCTCTGATCCGCGCCACTAGTTTGCAAGAATCTTCAAAAGAAACAATTTGGACGAGATAAATTGCACATACTTCAAGGAAAGAGGGGAGTAAAGACTGCTGACAGAAGAGATCTCTGATAAAACAAGACAAGAATAAGATATGAGAAGATACGTCAAGATACGGTACGGCAAATGACTGAGGGGGAGGGGGAAAACCCTCCTTTATTTCTCTATGTGATTAAACAAGAATCCCCTCCCCTAACGAGTCAGAAATGTCGGTTTAAGGACTTAAGTTGTGGATTTAAGGCTGTGTGGAGATAAATTTTCGAACCAAAGCAATGTTCCAAGACGAAGCTGGAAATTTAAGAGTTTTGGAATGACGCAGTTAAAAATGCCGTCGCCATTTTGGGAGGCACTGTCGGAGCTCTTGAGTCTGGGAGGAGAAGAAACAGAGTTGTTTACATATCGTGGACTAACTCCTCGGTGGGATTTAAGAGTGACAACTGCCTAATTTATGATGGAAAGAGCGATGTTATCTACGAAGGAGATGATTTATGGAAACCATCTGGACTTAGATTGGAAGAACGGGAAATTCACACAGGATTATTATATTTGCTTATCGGCTTAAGGAGACTAACAGAAGAGATCGTAAAGGAAAAAGAAAAATTATATGAACAAGATATGATGTGGAAACACCAAGATAAGATTGGACAGAACTATGAACTCTGTTTGGACTGATTGGGACTGATTTGGACATTAATGCAGTAATAAGAAGATGATTTGAATCCCCCTTTGGATCTTGAAGTATGGGTTCCCCCAACAAAATTTAAAAATTTGGCTTTGTAATTTGGAATTTATGTGATGTGATTTAATTTGATGTGATTGGCCAGTTAATAAAAATTATTAAAAAAATAAAAAATAAAAGACCCCCAACTCTGATCCAAAGGATGTCATGCAGTCTAATAAGTTGAGAGCTCCTACATAAACTCATATTCCCACTCCTATCAATATCACAGGGACATCTCTACACACATAACGGTTAAATGAGACAGAATTTTCTCTGGCAATGTAGAAACTTCAGTAAAGATTCTATGTATATAGATATGCACAGTTCTTTAATTAGGCCAAATTGCTGCATTCATCATTCTTCAAATCCATCCAATAACTAAAAAAATCAAAATACAGTAAAGCATTTTTAAGCTAAAAAATAATAATCAGAGATTTAGAATCTTCATTTCGCTTATCCTCAAAGAATAAAATTGGTTGAAAAACTGTCATTTGTCCAAAGCTATCCAGTAAATTTCAAAGCTAAATGGGAATCTGAAGCTGCATATCATACATCTAAACGCAGCTTAAGCCACTGCACCATGTTGCCTCAAATTAATGTCAATCTATGTAATTTAACTACATATAGCTAGGAGGAACATGGAACAAATTGCTTTGTAAGACAGAACGAGAAAATACGACATCCTTTGACATAAAGCAGCATTCAATTTACTACAGCTGATAGAGAGTACTAGACACCTGTTACCTGTTAATCTGTTCATAATGATACTTCAGGGTGTTGTAAAGTACAGGTTTATTACCATACACCTGTAAGCATGTTCATTTAAAATTATCTAGAGTGCTATCCTTATAAAAATTGTTTGCAGCTGACTTAAACAATACAGTAGAATCTAGCTACAGTGGTACCTCCATTTACAAACTTAATTCGTTCCGGAGGTCCGTTCTTAACCAGAAACCGTTCTTAACTTGAGGTGTGCTTACACTAATGGGGCCTCCTGCTGACTTCCACTCACATCCCGGGACAAAGTTTGCTACCCAGAACACCTACTTCCAGGTTAGTGGAGCTCGTAACCCGATGTGTTTGTAAGGAGGACGGTACACAACCCAAGGTTCCACTGTAATGAAAATGAGCTACTAAAGGAAAACAAGTGGGCTCATATCAGCCACCAGAGTGTTATACAAGGGTCGAGGGAGACGAACCAGATACTTCCATGCTTGTGAACAAATGCCAAGACTCTGGACAGCATGGAGTTACTGTAGGGACCACAGATCAGTGGTAGAATATATGCTTTGCACAAAGAAGAAAATACTTCTTCATGCAGTGCATAGTCCAGCTATGGAGCTCACTCCCCTAGGAGGCAGCCAAGGTCACCAACTTGGATAGCTTTAAAAGAGGATGGAGAAGAGGACTATCAACAGAAGGAGCAATGCTTCTGGATTCCAGATGCAGGAAACCACAAGAGGGGAGAGTGCTCTTGCGCTCATGTTCAGGGATGTTAGACTGGATGGGCCATTGGCCTGATCCAGCAGGCTCTTCTTATGTTCAGAGGTGGGAAATACTCATGCCAGAAGCCATGAATAACTACTGCCAATAAGCATAGACAGTGCTGTGCTAGTTGGACCAGTGCTCTGACAGGTAGGTAAAGTGCCCAGCATTAAAAGCCCTCCATGGCTTCCAGCAGAATGCCAGACCACTCAGGTCCTGAGCAGTTGCTCTTGCAGCACTGAAGGTCCAGTTGAAAAAAAGAATGGTGGTGGCAGCGGGAGGAAGGAGGAGATGTTGCAGTTCTTACAAGGCCTTTTCATAGCAGATGCAAAGGAGCAGGCTGGAGCTAGCTGAACAGATATGCTGTTACAGCCATTGCTTGTCAAAGGAGCCATAGCAGGTAAGTACATGCTGGTCCAGTTGGTCTTTGTATACTCCACAAAAAAACAACAACAAAAAACTCAAGAGCTAGATTCATATATAGCTCGTTTCCAATTCAGATAACAAAGTTTCTAAAAACACCAATTAATTAGGTCTTATAAGGAATGCTTAGCATCACAGTACCGAGCCAGTCAATCAATCAGAGCTAGCATTTGTGCTCACTAGATTGGAAAGTTTGTTGTGCCAGCCTTCTTTTGGAAGTAAACCATTTACTTCTCCTTTAAACACTATTTTTCAGTAAAACATTTAGGATTTGTCATGATGCTCACCACTCAAGGATTCACCTCCCAGATTTTGCAAAGGAGACCATTGGTAAACATTCTTTGCTCTGGGTCTTGTAACCTAAGCCAAAATCCCAAAGGTAGATAGTCAGTAAACAGAAAAGATTTGCAGAAAGACACAAGCCTTAAATAACTAAGCAATTAAACACTACTTGAGATATACATCCTATGTACTATAGTTTGATGCTTTCCAAATTGAGTATGAGTGCCAAATAATACATTCAAACTTAAAATATTATGTAACAGTTGCATTTTTATACCCCATTTATTACGTCCCAACCCAATGAGACTGAAGCACACACAGGAAGAACAAAATCCCATCTCAATAACTATTAACCTGGTTTCATACTTTATGGCTATTAGGGTGTCAGTACAGGAGAATTACACTTAAGTCTTCCCCATCAATTTCAATAGAAACACTGTGAATGTGTACAGATAATGTACCTCCAAGAGAAAAAAATAATAAATGGGGAAGACAGGAAAACTGAACTGCACATAGAAATCTGGACTTGCATTACTAGCTATAAGTTTAAAGATTTCAATACAATCAGCTGAACAGTTACCGTAAGTGATTTTGGACCAAAGTAGACACTATTCTCCAACAGAACGTCCATTTTGACTTGGTATTTATTCTTTGAGGGTGTTCCAGAAAAGTATACGAGAGAGGTATCTTCCTTTTGTTAAAAAAAGAGTGAATAGAAGTTGAAACAAGATGTTGTGTGGGCCTTCCACCCAAGAGTGTTGTTGTTTTTTATGTTGAACCAACAAGGATAGTACACACAAACAATGTAGTCTACTCTCATTCTTAAGTTGTTGAGGGTTTTGCCTTTAAGGCTATGTTTCTAAATCCATATGTGACAAAGCCTTTTTGAGCTGTTTGAACAGGTTGCACATTCCATTTGTCTCATCCTACCTGGTTTCAGTAATGCCTATTAGGTCATATTTGCTTGTCTGTATTAACATCTCAAGCAAATTATTATTATTATCCCTCCTTGATTTCCATAGGTACCACTTGCTGTACATGGCAATGACCAATATTTTTTCTTCTCTCTTAAACTAGAAGAAATCCAGAATAATGACTGCAGTCCCTGTAATAAGGAAGAGAAGGCTTTTCATATACTATTCACTCAAACAGCCACAGTAGTACACTGTGATCAAGAATTTGGAAGGGAATCACAGCTTTTGAAAAGTAAGTAAGAGCAAACCAGAACTCATGGCAATAGTTTCATAAACACAGGCAGAGCCTATGGAATATTCAGAAAACTTTTGGCAGAACTCAGGGGAGTTTCAAGTTCAGAGCCACTCCTCATATTCCTTGTTTCCTGCCAATTGTTTCTCTCCTAAGACAAATATCCTAAAATTTCAAATGTTCAAATACTGTAACCAAAATTCTCATTTACCTTGATATGCATATTTTCCAAATGTCTTTGAATGGATGCCGATTCAACATCACTTTTGTGACCTACAATTCAAAGTTAAAAAAACAAAACATATCTCAAATATAAGATTGCTTCCAATTTCTTTGATAAAAGAAATTTGTACAAAATTTAACCTGGACACAAAACCTCAAGGCAATGAACTATGCAATATTCTGTTTCCAAAGACTGACAATTTTCTCTGGGTTTATTATTCCCCTCATTGCTAGCACACCTCTCTTTGGGTGTTACTTGGATGAAGCAGGTAAGTGTGGTGAAAGTAGCTGTAGGCTCGTGCAATTTATAACCCTGACTGCCCAGGAATTTAAATCACACAGGGAGTCTCAAGCACAATGCAGAGTCCCCACTTTAGAAGTTATGCCTCTGTAGGCACTATGAAGGAGTTGCACAGCTCTGGGAAAAGGGGCAAACTGCACATCGTCAAAAACCCCTTCCCTGCAACACCTGAAGGCAACACATGAATGAAGAGATTGTGAAGCTTATATATTGTCCCAAAGCTATTTCATTACTCTCACCTCTTGATAGGTAACTGTTTAATAGGGATGAGAAATGTTGGAATTAAAAGTGTTGTTCTTTCTTTCCCATCCTAAAGGTAGGGCAGAGACCAAAAACAGAAGGCGGCTCATGAATATGCCATGCAGAAAAGCTGCTGGGTCAAAGTTAGGGATCTAGTCTTGTTTTTCCTTTGCAATTATAGTTACCCAAAGTAGAGCAAAATTAATGATACTAATAAGAGTGTAGAAGGGGCTACAGTGTGGCAACAATACAAGATTCAGCAAATGATAAGACAAGTAGTTGATATTGCTCCTTAAGTTACTGACTTTGATAAGTCCAAACAGTACCCCAATTTGGTTACTGCTATATTAACTATCTCACTTACAGAAGAAAACTTTTGATGAAGGGTTCAACTGTTTGAACAAGAAATGAGTCATGCTCAAAAGAAAATGAGAAATAATTTTTCAATTAAGGTGCATGTCACAACCTTAATGTACAAATTTATGTACAAAGGCTATAGATTCCCCCCTCCCCCGGAAATTGGAAAGAAATAAAGCAGAACAATCATTGCTCAGTGGCATATAATAATTTTAAAATGCATGTGATCATCTCTCTCAATTGTCATCCACATCCAAGACAGCTTAGATTAGTCATATAAATAAATTGCATGCTCTTCCACCAAGCCTGCCTTACCTGTATCAAGTAGGCTCTTTCCACACGAGTCCATGGACTGTTCTTCATTAGGTGACTTAATAATTGCAAAAAACAAAACAAAAAACAACAGCCCTATATTAGCTAAATTTGGGCTAGAAAATCAACTTTAATATTAGAGTCAACGTATGGGGATGTAATGGATCTTCATTCTACCAAACTTACATATTTACTTGATTTAAACATTTGATCAAATGCTAGCATCACTCCACATAAACCTGCGATGGCTATGGCTGTCAACAATCTAACTGTGCAATACATATATTGCTTCAAAAGACTTAGGCAAGCAAGTTTAAATATATACTACACATTTACCTGCCCCCATCACCTTCTCAATGCACAGGCAATTTAATATTACCTTCAATTATTTGTACACTTTTCTTGCTACTAACAAAAAAATAAAGTTATGGGATGGGAAGATTAATCTCCTTCTGATGGAGAAGAGGGCTATTGATGGCTACTAGCCATGATAGCTATGTTTTCCCTTCACAGTTGGAAGGAGCAATGCTTCTGAATACCAGTTGCTGGAAACCACAGGAAGGGGAGAGTGCTCTGGTGTTTGAATCCTGCAGGTTTCCCACTGGCATATCTGGTTGGCCACTGTGAGAACAGGATGCTGGGTCATTGGCTGGATCCAGCAGATAAAGGATTCATGCAGTACTGTAAGTTTTAGGCAAATTCTAAATGCAGAAGCACACAGCTTTAGCTGAAGCTGTTTTCATGAATTTTACAGGGTGTGATGCTATTCAAGACTGCAGGGGAAGTGCCAATAAGTTAGCACAAGCTATATAATATTGTTTGGGGGCATTTCTCTAAGCAAGGAGAGTTTTCTTGCACATTTCCTAATAGGGTTAGAAAAGCACCCTACATCTCTGAGAGTTTGGGTATTGTTAAGTACACTTCTGACACCACAGACACAATATTTTATAGGGTTGCAGTTCTACCCTGCCCTACATTGGAAATCTCAATGGGATGGAAAGTACACCCCTTAAACCTGTTAATGTTATTCTCACCACCCCATGTTGGATGAAGGTTCATAGCTACATGAAGCTGCTGAGAATAGTCATTAGGAGTTTTGGTACTATCAGTACACATGGAGCTCTATTTCTGCATAATAACTGAATCAGGAGAGGCTGTGTGAGCCCTAGACCAGTGTCTGGATGCAATGGTGGGATGGATGAGGGAAAATAAATTGAGCTTAAATCCTCGTAATCCACTGTGAGTGAATGGTTCCTATAGTCTACCCTGGACAGAGTTGGGTGTGTGTGTGTGCTGGATCCAGCTTTGTCACTTGATGCCCAGGTAGCCTCAGTGACTGTTGCAGGACTGGGAGAGCTTGACCACAGTAGTTCAGGTACTGGTGACTTCAGCACTGGATTACTTCAGTGTAAGTCTTCTCTTTTGCTACATTTAGTTCTGAGTGCTGCAGTACGGTTGCCAACAGAAGTGAAAAATCTTGTGAGCATATCACAGTTCTGGTCAGAGATCTGCAATGGTTGCCCATTTGACACCAGGTCAAGTCTAAGGCGTTACTATTAGTATATAAAACCTTTAACAGCTTGGCACGTTTACTTGCAGGATCACCTTGGCCCAATACAGTGGTACGTCAGTTCTTGAACATCTCCGTTGATGAACGTTTCAGAACCCGAACGCCGAAAACCCAGAAGTAAATGCTTCCATTTCCGAATGCGCCTCAGAAGTTGAACGACTTCCGCTGTGTGTTTTTCAATTTTCTCAATTACATTTGCGGGCAGCCATTTGCGCCTCAGTTTTTGAACGTTTTGGAACTCGAACGGTCTTCCGGAACGGGTTACGTTCGAGAACTGAGGTACCACTGTATATATTTCATAATAATTATAAACTGTTTGATTGTAAAACACTTCCAAGTGGTTTACAAAAAATACTCGCTAGACTGGTTTGAGCTATGGAACTGGCACTGTTGCATGTACCACAATCAGTATTTTTGTGTGGCAGCGCCTACACTTTGAAACTCCCTGCCTATCAACATCAGCCAGGCACTTTCTCTGCACTCTTCCTTCAGTGACTGTACCATTTCCTCAATATGCCCGTGAACAGAATCCCGGAACAGACTCCATTCAAATACAACTCCAGAAAAAAGTAGATGGATAACTATTTTGGTTGACTGCGGTCATGGGTCCTACATACCTGATACTCCTCGTAGTTCTCATTTTCAGAGTCAGAGGCCAGCTGCGTCTCAATTTCTTAATTGAAAAAGAATTCATTGAAATTATAAAACTGAAGATAACAGCTCTGTCTTCAGTGACAGGTTATAATCAGTCCACTTAGTCAAAGACAGCCACTTGGCTTTCCCATCTGAGAACCCCTGCCCCACTTTACAAATTCTATGGAGAAATCTCCATTTAAACCTGCCTGTACAGCCACCTCTATTGTAGTGACTGTTCTGAATGGGAAAATGATTCATACGATCCTGAAAATGGTTGTTTGTAGCACAAGACTCAGTTTTGCTACACAAGCGCAATGCAAATTTTTGAAATCTAGATCTTACACCTACATATGTGCAACAAAAAGTCGAATATATATTTAATTAGTTCTCATAGGCAGTTAAGTAAAATTAGGCACGATACAGGTTCCATCACACCAACGCTAGAGTATATATCAAAGCAACTGCCTTCAAGTCCCATGAAGTTGATGCTTAACACAATATCCTTAGGAATTAATGAGATCTGCTAAGTGGCAGGTCTTAAAGGGAGGAAGGTCAGCTCTTCTAATGAAATGCATTGCCCCCAAAGTACAGGCAAGCCTCCCCCCCCCATTTATGTGTGTTCTATTTGTGCGCGACCGCAAATGCATGAATCACGCCAAACTGGGAAGTGATCCCAAAACATCACAAAAGGGGGAAGACTTGGGTGGGATGGGGCGGAACAGGGTACTTGCAGGTTTGGCTAGTTGCTTGTAATTCAAACATATTTGGGTGAGCCATAAAACTCATTTAAAAAGCAATTCCATAACAACTGAAGAATTAAGCTCAAGTGACCATTTTATGAATACCTTGCAAGAATGAACCATTAGATTCTGCTTTATAACATATAAGGCTCATAAAGTCTTTCCAAGTGAAAAGCAGGCTTTTTTAAAAAATGATACAAATACATTCATATGAAGAAACACAATACGCTGATAAAGCTAAACATATATCCAATAAAAATAGCCAATTTTAAATGGTATTTTTTCCTTTGCAATAGCTCATTTAAATCAAGATTACAGCAAGATTATCAATCTGTGGATTTAGTACAAAAAAAGAACAAAATCATGTATCTTAAGCCAAATTAATCTTCTTTCATAAAATGACTATTATATTTGCAAGTAGTTATTTTTTAAGAGCCAATTCTAGAAAGGAATACTGTCTCAGATTTATAATTGATCTTTTTCTTTCACCATTAAGAACTGTTAAAGTTAAATCTTTACACAATTTAAACATACAAGTAGTGCAGAAAGTTCTAAGATTTCCCTTACCTGTGTTTTCCTGAAATGGTACAATATTCTGTAATATGACAAGCAGGAAAATTTCAGTGCATAAAAATGATTTCTTGTACAAAAAAAGGCACCAAGTGCTTTCATTTTCAAAAGAATGTATTTTTTTTCTTTAAAAGATCCTCCCATTCAGAAATAAGAATACTGTAAAAATTGCTTATGTCTGTAACCCTTTGCCTATTGATCTGGAAACATGAAGGATACTGATAAAGATTTTCATTTGGTTAATTACTGACAGACTCAGGGCAAGCAGGCAGCATGATCTGCCAAGAATTCTAATACTTGAAATATTTTGATATGCAATTTCTACACACACTGCCAAACTCAAGTCACAGGGCAAAATAATTAGGGACAAAGATAACAGTTTTCATATTTCTTTTTTTAAAAAAGTTTTTTATTTATACAATAAGACAAAAAGAAAAAAACACAAATACCAAATTACACACAAATTACAAAAAAATAACCATAGACACATAATTTTCTTAGCAAACAATAAAACATCTATTGGTCTTGACACTAAAGACCCAACCTCCCGTCTATTCCATATTTCAAATTCATATTACTTTTTGCCAATACACACTTTTAACATAATTTAACTTATTCTCAATAAATCTAATTTCTTATATCTACCTTGCAATTATTACTGAAGTTCCTCGAATGCTGCAACAGAATTTAAACTACTATATTTATTTTTCAGATAATCTTTGAAAACCTCCCATTTTGAAACAAATTCCTGTTTTGATTTGTTCTTTATTTTTTCTGATAAACCATCTAATTCGGCATATTCTGTCAGCTTTTGGATCCAATCTTGTATAGAGGGGATTTCATTACTCTTCCATTTTGCTGCGATCAAAACTCTTGCTGCCGCCATCGCATATAAAAAGATACCCTTCCTCTTTTGTGGAATATCCAAATCTGTTATTCCCAGGAGGTAGGCCTCTGGTTTTTTGTTGAAAGAGATCTTTAGCATTTTTTGCAGTTCTGCATGGATACTCTCCCAGAATACCTGTATTTTCCTACATATCCACCACATATGGTAGAATGTTCCTGATTCACCGCATCTCCAACAATTACTTGACACATTTTTATACATTTTTGAAAGTTTCCATGGTGTTAGATACCATCGATGTTGCATTTTTTGAAAGTTCTCTCTAATCGTGTAACAATTTGTGAATTTCCAATTGATCTTCCATAAATTTTCCCATTGGGCCATGGTTATTGAATGGCCAAAATCCTGGGACCACCTCACCATTGCCACTTTTACCTCCTCCTCCTTGACTGTCCATTTTGACATTTTGGAAAGAGTTTTTCTTTTAGAATTTATAAGATCAGATTCAAATCGGGAAATTTCTGTTGAGAACCCCTTTTGTTTGTCAGATTTAAATTTTTCAAATAACTGATGGTATTGGAAACAGTCTGAGATGTGTTCTCTTATTTCCTCAAAGTTTTTAAATTTTATTTGGTTATCTTCAGTTTTTAGAAGTGTTTTATATGTTGGCCAGCTTTCCTGAGTATTTTTCTGTTTTACTGCTACGGCTTCTATTGGAGAAGTCCACCACGGGACTTTAGGCTCTATCGGTCTTTATATTTTTCCCATACAGCAAAGAGTGATTTTCTTATTACATGGTTGGTAAAAATTTTATGAATTTTCGCTTTTCCGTATATCAGGTAGGCGTGCCATCCCCAGCAGTTGTCAAAACCTTCCAGGTCCAGGAGGTCCGGATCCTGCAACATGCACCAATCCTTTAGCCAGGTGAAACAGGCTGCCTCATAGTAAAGTTTTAAGTCGGGTAGGGAAAAGCCTCCTCTCTTTTATGTCTATTAAGATCAGGTGTTTAATCCTAGGTTTCTTCCCTTCCCACAGGAATTTGGAAATTTCTCTTTGCCATATCTTGAGACAACCTGCTTCGCCCAGTATTGGAATCATTTGAAATAAAAAGATTAATTTTGGAAGCACATTCATCTTTATAATGGAAATCCTACCCAGAAATGTTAATTTTAGTTTACTCCAGGTTACAAATTTTTTTCTAATCTCTAACCAAGTTTTGGTGTAATTATCCTGAAATAGGTTTATGTTCTTGGAGGTGATCCAAATACCCAAGTATTTCGCTTTTGAGGAGATTTTCAGGCCCAATATTTTTTCTAAGTCGTCCTTTTCTTCTGTGGTTACATTTTTAACAAGCATTTTTGTTTTTGTTATATTCAGCTTAAAGCCTGCCACTTCTCCAAATTCTTTAATCAATTCCAGCACTCTTTTCAGACTTTCTTTAGGGTTTTCAGTCATAACAAGTAAATCGTCTGCAAAAGCTTTAATTTTATATGTTTTGTTTCCCAGAGTGATGCCTTTAATAAGCTGATCCTTTCTTATCTGATTGTTCAAGACTTCCATCACCAAGATAAATATCAGTGGTGACAGTGGGCAGCCCTGTCTAGTTCCCTTGTTTATTTTGCACTCCTCAGTAATTCTTCCGTTGATAATCAATTTTGCATATTGTTCCGAATAGATGGCATTTATTCCTTTACAAATATTTTCTCCCAGTCCGATTTCTTCCATTAATTTTTTCATAAACTTCCAGGACACGTTGTCAAAAGCTTTTTCAGCGTCCACCAACATAATAGATGCTGGTTTATCAATTTTAATATCCAAATATTCCAATACATTAATCACACATCTAATATTGGATTGCATAAATCGTCCGGGAAGAAATCCGGTTTGATCTTTATGAATTATCTCTTTCAGCACCATTTTTAATCTATTTGCAAGAATGTCTGCGAATATCTTGTAATCGTTATTTAGCAGTGCAATGGGTCTGTAATTGGCCATGTTTGAGGCATCTGTTCCCTGTTTGTGGATAAGAGTAATAAAGCTGTCCTTCCAGGTTTTCGGTAGCTTTCCATTTGCCAGACTATTATTCATTAGGTCTTTCATGGGAAGAAATAATGCTTGTTCTAACTTTTTATAATAATTAGCTGGGAGACCGTCTGGGCCCGGTGTCTTTCCTAATTTTGATCTCTGTATAGCTTGTTGCACCTCCATAGCTGTTATTGGTGAGTTCAAGATTTCAGCTTTTTCCTTAGGTATTATTGGTAGTTTATTTTTGCCCAAATAATCAATTATTTTTTCTAGAGTCTCTGGACCTTCTTTATATAGTCTCCCGAAAAAACTAGCAAAGTTTTTACTAATTTCCTTCGGTTCTTGAATCCATTTGTCTTCAATTTTAATTTTATTGATAATTCTATCTTCCTTTTTCTTCTTTAATTGCCAGGCCAGAAGTTTGCCAGGTTTATTTGCAAACTCAATAAATCCTTTGTTGTCCAAATCGCGTCAATTCGTCCCGCCGAATTATGTGGCTCTGAATAATGTGTAAATTCTTTCTCTGTTGGATTCTTAAACCTCCAAGCGTCAAACAAATTCAGGAGTTCTATTAATTGGAAAAATGTAGTTGGGAGTTTGTTCTGCCTCTTTTCGTTCTTCTTCTAATAAAATGTCAGAGCGCGTGAGTCAGCAGAAGTACTCCCAGCCGTTGTTAAATTGATTTATACTCCGTTGAGCATCCGTAGTAGTCCACAGCCAAAGACAAACAGAAGCCCCCGGAAAGGAAGGTTAGCAGCACTTCGTGGAAGAGGGGAGGCAATGCTTATCAGTCTTGTGACAGTTTTATAACTTTGTAATCAATCACCCTCTCATTCACCACCGTTCTGAGAGGTTCTGGCTCTTAAATTCCCTTTGCCAGCGTAAACAGACAGTTGAAAACTAACTTATGAACAACAGTTAATTTTGTACTGAAGAGTCTGGAAACCTCCTCAAATCTTCACCACTTGGGAAAGGTCTTCCCTTATTTCTTCTTCATGACTTCTTGGTTTATTTCTGTCACAACAATAATGAAGCCACAGGTATTCTTTTGTTCATAACTCCAGCAGAAAAAGATGGCTAAAACGTCTTAGGTATTAATGGAATAGACGTCTTTTTAAAAAAACCAGTCTGATATAGCTTGTAAGTAAATCTTGGTCAGTTGCGAAAAGCCATTTATGTTCAAACACTTTGTTTTAGGTTCAAACGCTTTGTTTTAATCGTAAATTAGCAAGTTCAGTAAGTAAAATAGGCTAATTGTTTAGGTTTGCTTCAGTTTGTTAGAAGTATAGCCATAGTCATACCCACGGGCTCGAGCTTCTCGTCAGCGGAGGGTTGCAGAAACTAGCACCGAAGAAGTTCTTCCCCTTCTCGCTCAGCTTTTAGGAGCTTGAAAATGGTCTGGGGGTCCTCTTCTTCGTGCTGCAGCAACGCCATATCGCCCTGGAATCTCCTTCCAAGGCTTCGGGGTCAGCTTAGCCTTAGCTCCCCCTTCTAGCTCCGCTAACGAATGCGTACCTCCCAACCTTGTCAAAGTGGGAGATATGCATCTGTCCGTGAGCAAAGACTACCCGGAAGTCCTCAGTTTTCATATTTCTTAGTTACAGTGGTTCCCAAGCTACTTTCCCCATGGATCACTTGAAAACTGCTGAAAGACTTGGCGTACTACTTAAAAATAATTCTGCTTGGTATAGCACCTGTAATGTGCTGTGCTAGATGCTGCATAATTTTTATTTTATTTTTTGCTTTATTTCTTCTATTGGATGTTAATTGTATTACAATATGAATTCCATAGAACTCAAATATGAATTCCATAGAATTCAAATTGTTAAGTGTCCTTTACACACACACACTGAAAACTACTTGAATGAAGCTCATGAGCCACTGGTAGTCCGTGGACAAGTTTGGAAACCCCTGTCTTAGCGCACTGAATTTGATACATCTGCACTGTATCAAATGAATTATCTTCCTGTAAGTCTGGAAGGGTAATTAAGACAAAATGTGAGAATTTTGTTCTGAAGACTGGTATCACCAATTTAAATCACCCCACCAGCATTTCAGATTGCAGGTAAGACCACAAAAGCTGTGTTTTCATCAGTCAAATGTCTCCATTGATTAGAGCAATGTACAACAATGAAAACAAAGTCCATTGAGCTATTTGGATGTGCTCATTTTGGTATCAGCTTTACCAATGGTCTGAAATTTAAGGAAAAGAGAAAGCTGAATGAGAGAAAGCAATATTCTCTAACTTAAGTTCACAAACCCTGAAGAGAATCTATGGCTTCTTTTCAATTCAAGTTGCCACAGAAACATTGTTTTAAAATACTACTGTTATAGCTATGCATCCAGTCTCCCAGAGAGATTTCTAGATTTTTAATTTGTCACAATAACTTAGAAAACATCAAAATACGGTTATTACAAGTTATGCATTTACAGTACCTGAGAGCGATCTATAATTTCGGTGCTTGTCTGTTGCTCTTCTCCCCAAACCCTTGGCCCTAGAAACGATACAAAAATTTCTACAATAAATGCCACATGCATAAGAATTTGTTAGAACAGACATTTGTGATAAACAGAGTAATGTTAATCTTTTGCAGTAAGCATAGTAAATAAGTCTTGTGGCACTCTGAAGACTGATTCATTCTGGAATAAGCTGTCATAGACTACAGTCCATTTCATCAAATGCATGAAGAGATATACAGTGGTACCTTGGGTTAAGAACTTAATTCGTTCTGGAGGTCCATTCTTAACCTGAAATTGTTCTTAACCTGAGGTACCACTTTAGCTAATGGGGCCTCCCACTGCCGCATAATTTCTGTTCTCATCTTGAAGCAAAGTTCTTAACCAGAGGTACTATTTCTGGGTTAGCGGAGTCTGTAACCTGAAGTGTCTGTAATCCAAGGTACCACTGTACTGGGTTGTATGTCCCTATATACATGGTTGGGTAGGGGATTATAAAAAGTAAGCTCAGAATTAAAATTCACAGAAATACAGTGATACCTAAGAGTGGCAATCCACAAAACAGTTTCTGATGACAAATCGCTCCTGCTTTGCTACCGATTCTCTCCAGCACAAAACAACAAACCACGATTCTTAGCTTAGTATTATATCTGAACCAAGTTTGTTTTGAATCAGATCATAATTAATTTTGCTCCATGCAAACTACAGTTTGAAGGCACAGTTTCTTATTGGCGTCAGGTAGTCATTTTGTTTGCAGTGAAACAAACTAGAACCCCCAATTCCGAAACAATGCTAGGCAAAGATTGTGGCTATCTCACTTGTGATGGGGGAAAAGCAAACTGACAGCAATTTGTTTATTCATGGTAAACAGTTAACCATGACTTATGGCATGCAAACCCTATCACTGTTATGTATACACTGTTACAACAAACCTCAAGGTTTCCAATCAGTCTTTGATTCAATAAAGTTTGATACATTTTCATCAGACTGAGTAAGTACACTACAGACACAGCATCCACACAGGTTTCAAAAAGTCTCTATACTATGTTTTTATAAAGGCAAACTAGAATATAGTAATTGATAAAAACAATCTTACCTTCAGGTGTATCATAGGTCAATGATCTGATAGAAATGACCATATCATCATCAAAGGGGAAGTTGTACTGGATTAAAACAAACACACACCATTTTTACATAAGACTACAGTGCTAGAGATTATAATAAAAGCTTTTTTGGGGGGTAAAATTCATACATTATTAAACCTCCATTCAAACTACTAACTAGCCTACTTGAAAGTTAACTCACTCCTATCTAGTTGGCAGTACACAGGGCCCAACTACATGTTACATGACACATCTGTGATGGAACATCATCATCATTAGAATTTATATACCATCCTATACCCGGGGGTCTCAGGGTAGTTCACAGAATAAAATCAAGATATAAAACCATAACATACATGACAAAAATAAAAACAACGAACCCACCCCCAATCCAACATTTTGATTTTTACATCAAGGCAGTGTGTCCAAATTTGGCTGAAACAGACAGACAGGGCCAGATTTAAGTTTGATGAGATTTAGGTTGTTGCGGTTTTTGTGTTGAATATATGCTATATGGTAATTTATGGACCTAATGGGTATCTCAAGCCATTTGCACATAACAAATAGGAGCCCACACAAGACAAAAAACTGTTGCTGTATGTAGGTTTTATTTTATTTGTTTTTTATCTTATATTTTGGAAATGTACATCCAGTTTCCCCCCCTTCACATTTTTTGCCCCCCCCCAAGAGAGTGGGGCCCTAAGCTATAGCTTGTCTGAGACAGACAAAAGTTAGCCCTTAAGAGTGCAATCATTATGGTGCTGGAGGAGACTCTTGAGAGTCCCATGGACTGCAAGATCAAACCTCTCCATTCTTAAGGAAATCAGCCCTGAGTGCTCACTGGAAGGACAGATTGTGAAGCTGAGGCTCCAATAGAATCATAGAATCATAGAATCATAGAGTTGGAAGAGACCACAAGGGCCATCGAGTCCAACCCCCTGCCAAGCAGGAAACACCATCAGAGCACTCCTGACATATGGTTGTCAAGCCTCTGCTTAAAGACCTCCAAAGAAGGAGACTCCACCACACTCCTTGGCAGCAAATTCCACTGTCGAACAGCTCTTACTGTCAGGAAGTTCTTCCTAATGTTTAGGTGGAATCTTCTTTCTTGTAGTTTGGATCCATTGCTCCGTGTCCGCTTCTCTGGAGCAGCAGAAAACAACCTTTCTCCCTCCTCTATGTGACATCCTTTTATATATTTGAACATGGCTATCATATCACCCCTTAACCTCCTCTTCTCCAGGCTAAACATGCCCAGCTCCCTTAGCCGTTCCTCATAAGGCATCGTTTCCAGGCCTTTGACCATTTTGGTTGCCCTCCTCTGGACACGTTCCAGTTTGTCAATGTCCTTCTTGAACTGTAGTGCCCAGAACTGGACACAGTACTCCAGGTGAGGTCTGACCAGAGCAGAATACAGTGGCACTATTACTTCCCTTGATCTAGATGCTATACTCCTATTGATGCAGCCCAGAATTGCATTGGCTTTTTTAGCTGCCGCGTCACACTGTTGGCTCATGTCAAGTTTGTGGTCAACCAAGACTCCTAGATCCTTTGGCCACCTCATGAGAAGAGAAGACTCCCTGGAAAAGGCCCTGATGTTGGGAAAGATGGAGGGCACAAGGAGAAGGGGACGACAGAGGACGAGATGGTTGGACAGTGTTCTCGAAGCTACAAACATGAGTCTGACCAAACTGCGGGAGGCAGTGGAAGACAGGAGTGCCTGGCGTGCTCTGGTCCATGGGGTCGCGAAGAGTCGGACACAACTAAACAACAACAAGAGTGCAAGGAACCCTGCTAGAAGGAAGGGGGGGAGGGAGAGGGACCGGAATTTGACATTTCAATTGCATTTATTAATTATCCCTACGCCCCATGACGTCACACAGCAGGTATTTCGAACGTTTCCCCACGTAGATTCCGTGGGAAAGGGGGGAGGAACCGGCCCAGGAGCCCCGAGCACATCCCGCCTGGGGCCTCTGCCTTCTGGAAAAGGCCTGCGACCCTCGCCCGGTCCAGCTCGCCGAAGCTGCCCCTGGAGCCGCGTCGAGCTCACCTTTTCCACAACGCTGCTCATGGCGGAGGCAAAGCGGAGGGTGCTTCTCCTCAGGCGGCGCTCCATGGCTGTGCTGCCGCCGCCTCCGGGCCCTCCTCTTCGCCGGCGGTCCGCGGCCTCGCTCTCCCTCCCTCCCCCCCTCGCTCTCCCCATCTCGGCCGTCGCCTTGGCCCGTTCTGTGCGGCCCAAGGCCGAGGATTGGTCGCTTCCAGGTTGGGCAACTCCTTCAACCCGATTCAAATCCGCCGCTGCGCTAGTCTCGCGAGAGTGCGCTTCAGCTTGCCGTCGCCGGATTCGTAGTTGTTCGCCAATCGGGAGAGGCCCAAGAAGCAGTTCTGTTTTGATTGGCTGGCTGCCTCCGCCCCACCCCTGATCCCGCCTCCCTATCTCTAGCTGAAACTCTCTGCCTTCGACAAGCTCTTCGTTGAGCGCGAAAGTCGAACGAGTAGGAGAGCTTTGGGAATGCTAAGGGCCAGCGTAGCGACGCAAACTGCGTAAGAGTGCGAATGGGAGAAGCCGAAAGATTTTGTTGTTAAGGGAGATGTAAGGAGACGCCAAATGGGTGGTGGATTAGTTTTGCCCATTCGAAGTTAGCTGTTTCTACAGTCTATATACATAAAGATCGAATAGTTTTGTGGTACTTTGGAAGCGCACACATTTATTGTGGCATAAACTCTGCCGGATTGGAATTGCTCTTATCATCATTCAGTGCAAGGCAATGGTAGTTTGCTTTCATGAAGCTTTTGAAAAATGCCAACTGCTGATTATATCAGGGAATGACGGTTGCAGATTATTTTTATTGAGTCTGTTATTTGGATAAGTCTTTTCATTGTGTTTGATTCGCGTTTATTTTGTTCTGTTTAATAGGGGTTTTTTGTTACCTGATCTGCAGATTCAAAAGTTCAAGTATTTTACGGTTGTTTTAATTAATAAATAAAGAATGGAAAAGAATTGAGCAAGCTTTTGAGTTCAAAATGAACGTGGATCAAGCTGGATGTTAATCTTAAGCATAAAAGCGGAAACAAAAGGTGTGTGTGTGGGGGGGTGTTACGTGGTGAGTTTAAGTCTGCAGATTATCATATTCCGATGACAGGAGGTAGGAGGTGTCACATCGACTTCCTTAGATTAGATTATGCTTGTTGCAAAATGTTTTTTAATTGCCCCAAATGTCATCGGGGATGGAGAAGCATGTTTAACTCTCCATATGGTGCAACATGAAATCAGAGTGGCTGAATCAATTAACAGTCTTTTATTGTTAAATTTAGTGCCTGAACTGGAACTGAAATGAAGAATTCGAAAACACCAAGGAACCTGAACTAGAGCCATAATAAATTTTTGTATATTTCTACTGCTTAATTTACTGGAGTATAGTTTTTAGCTGAGAAACAATGTGTTTCCCTAAATCCTTTATGTTTCATGTCAAAAAGGCAGAGCTCTTTTTGCATAATGTATCAAAGGGACAAACAACTCAGGCACCAGTAATAAGAAAACCGTAGTGTCTATAGAGTTTATCACAGTTGTTAAATTATTTCAAAATACCATTGATCTCTTTGAAGTGTTACTAGAAAGTCAATATGTAGAACAAGAATAGTGTTCAATTTTACAATTATTATTTACATATATCAGTTTTCTTTAAACCTAGTCCTCTGGGTGATGTACAGCAAAAAATGAAAACACAAATCAAATAATGCAGTAAAATATCAAATCAGATAAAATGCAACATCAGCACAAAATATGTAGGTACATAAAAAGGGCCCAAATAATCCCACAGGGTTAAAATAGCATGTGCAAATGCTGTCAGAGCAGAGAATAAAATCATACAATAAATGATAACAACCTAAGATAATATTTTTTATCTCCATGGCTTGTTAATCCTTCCCATTTGCTTTATTCTCTTTTCAGCTTTATAGATAAGCCCACAACAGTGAATACTGTTTTTTGTGGGGAGGTTTTCAAGCCCACATTTTCATGCTGGCCACAAAAGAGGACAAGCATGGAAAATGCAGGCTGGTAAAAACGAAATACAAAAGGAGGCCTTAAAAGGACAGATGGAACAATCCCTCAGTCCTCAGCCACCTGCCACATTTCTATACTGGCCATGGAGGAAGGTGTTTCCCATCATCTACAGTTACCATAGAAACCAAAGATGGAGTGATTCATCCCTCCTTCACCAGCCCACTCACTATCCCAATTGCCTATGGCGGTTGAGAAAGCTATTAAATACAAGACTCCTTTCTTCTCAAGTTATAACTTTTTGGTTATTACCCAGAAAAAGAAGTTGCCTCTTCCAGAGACTTTGCAGAACACCATCAACTCTTAAGTCGTTTGAAATAGTTTTATGTTAAATGTGAGTCTTTGACTGATGTAATTAATTGCCATTTGAAAACATGTTTTTTTGTATTTTTCATTCATTGGTGATGTTGGCTGATCTGCAGGAACCCATCCTACATTAAGGCTGCAATCCTATACACCTTTACATGAGAGTAAGTCCAATGGAACTTTATGAAACCTGAGCAAGACATGCATAAGATTGCTTGGTTAGTCTATGTACTTTTTCATCCAGTGTTGATATTCCTCTCCCTTTCCCCTTCTGCACTTGTTATTTACAATTAAGATAACTTAACTGGTACCCTCAATTATTAAAACATCATATAGAGTTATAAGAAGCTCATTTCTCACTCAGTTATGCCTATAACCACAATAAAACATAAGGATGTACGAAACAAAAATGCCACCCTTCTCACCTGTTTCAGTTGCTCCAAACAAAATAGTGACATAAAAATATAAAAAATATAAAAACAAAGTATATACTTTGAGAGTAATGCTATGAAGCGACAGATTTGCTCAATGAAGTCTTCTAATAAGTATTTCCCAGCCCTTTCACAATTAAATCCTATACATATCTACTTAGAAATAAGCTCTATTGAGTTCAATTTACTGCCAGATAAGAATGTATAGAACTGGGGTGTTAGCCCACTATTAATCTACATATGGAGCTTGCAATCTGGAAAAGGACTACTTGGTAAAAAAAATGAAGTCTCAGAGTTTGGACTGAGGCTTTTCATGATCTGAGTTATGCCTGTGCATTGAAAACTGAGACTCTCTTCAGCTATGGTGTTACCTGCACTGAAAATCATACTCCTTCAGAGGGGGAGAAATTTCCCTGCTTTAGCTTACTAGGCTATAAAAGCAAATACAGTATAGAAAAGCTTGCCTGACACACAATGGACTAGAATTGTTGTGTCTTCAGGGGAGTGTCTTCATTTATTCTGTTATATTTTCAGCAACACTTTTTACATTGTTATTATTAAGCTAGGTTTTTTAGGATGTTTAATTCTGACTGATGGGATTATCGGTTTTTCCAATGTCTCCTCTGCCTCCTGTGATCTTATTCTGATTATTTATATATCAATACACCTGAAGGAGCGTCTCCACCCCATCATTCAGCCTGGACACAGGTCCAGCGCCAAGGGCCTTCTGGCGGTTCCCCCACTGCGAGAAGTGAGGTTACAGGGAACCGGGCAGAGGGCCTTCTTGGTAGTGGCACATGCCCTGTGGAATGTCCTCCCAGCAGATGTCAAGGAAATAAACAGTTATCTTACTTTTAAAAGACATCTGAAGGCAGCCCTGTTTAGAGGAAGTTTTTAATGTCTGATGTTTTATCCTGTTTTTAATATTCTGTTGGGAGCTGCCCAGAGTGGCTGGGGAAACTCAGCCAGATGAGCGGGGTATAAATAATAATTTATTATTATCACTATTATTACAGTGGTACCTCGGGTGAAGTACTTAATTCGTTCCGGAGGTATGTACTTAACCTGAAACTGTTCTTAACCTGAAGCACCACTTTAGCTAATGGGGCCTCCTGCTGCTGCTGCGCCACCGGAGCACGATTTCTGTTCTCATCCTGAAGCAAAGTTCTTAACCTGAAGCACTATTTCTGGGTTAGCGGAGTCTGTAACCTGAAGCGTATGTAACCTGAAGCGTATGTAACCAGAGGTACCACTGTATTTATAAGACTGGTATTATTTCAACATTTTGTACAGGCAGCAACCATTTTGCATCGGAGTTCCATTCCTAGCCGCCCCCATTCCGCCTTGTTGGCGGTCATGCGTCAGTTGGACGCAGACAAAATGGTTGCCAGCTGTAGGCCAATTTGAAAGGCCGCAAACCCCAAAAGTGGTGTAAACATGATTCAAATAAAAAAACAAATCTCTCTTCACCAGGTAACCCCGTCTCTCTCCCCCTTCTAGTTTTCAGTGGATTTTTAAGAGCCAAGAAATAACAGAATTTCATTTTATTCAAATCAGTTGGCTCACTTACAAAACTGGTGCTCTGCACATCATCATTAGAATCAAAACTAACATCTTCAACCCTAAAAGGACTCTGGAAAGCTCAAAACTTTTCTCAGAAGGGATGTAACCTAGTAGACTGCTGCTGCACTGCCTCCATTCACTTCAGGGGAATATGGTTTCCGTTTATTTAATCCTTCCTTTCTACATTGAGTTTGTCTTTCAGTTATTAAAAAACACTGAGACAGGCTGTACCTATATTACTGTACCTATGTTGAAGAAGTTGAAGTTCCTATTCATTATTGCAGGTTTTTTAGAGGGTGGGTGGAAATCATAAAATAGTCTAAATGCCAAAGCTATAATGTCAACTCTGCTTATAATACCAAGTGATACAGTACATTGCATAGTTTGGCTGTCTGCTATATCGATCAAACTACTGGTAAATATAATTACAGATGATGTGGTGCATTTCATGTGCACCTATCCATAGAGGCTAAGCAAAACTGAAAACATTTTCATTGCTCAGGTTTGATCACCTTTTGGGGGAAATTGCTTGCCCAGCTTTGTTCACCATTCACTTGCAACAGAATTCAAGCACTTACGAGGATTCAAAGGAAAGTTTCAATAAGGGATACCTGAGGAAATAGATGCTGGGCCTCTGCAATATTTTCATTAAGAGGTACGCCCTTAGGGCTGGTCTTGCCCAAATTTGAAGTGAATCCCTATTGTTTCCTGTTTCATGCCACTCTATATTTTTCATTACCCTGACAATACTTCACATTATTATTATGCCATTATTTAGTATGTTTCCCCCCTCAAAGCTCAGTATAGCTTCGTGTCTGTGCTTATTTTCCTACATGTCAAAAAACCTGTAGATGAATGTGAGGCTGACCAGCTTTAGGTATCCCTTTCTCTTTGAAGCATGGTCAGCGGAACATGTTGCTTCAGCATGTTAAATAAAACTAGGCCTCCAGTTTCCTGCCAAAACACTACGGAAGTAAATCAAGAACAACCCAGTATTCTTTCTTTACACCTCATTACTATTTCCCTAAGTATTTTCTGGGATGAGCATTAACTTGAAACAAGCCTGGTTTATAATCCTGTAAAATCTGAAATCATACACATTGGGACTTTTGGATACATAAAGAAATATTCAAATTAATTTGAATAAACGGAGAGGTTTTGCTATCATCCCTGCTTTCAGCACTGCAAAACCCTCAGCTTATGCCTGAACTTCAGGCTGCAGTGGTTCCTGCTGGGCTGTGTGGGTGACGTGCACTGGCATGAGTTGTATGCATGTTCCACAACTAAAGAATGACATCGAGCTCCCTACATGGGGTGGTAAATAAAATCTCTGTTGTAGCACTAGAAAGCTAGAATGAAGAAACAAGCCAAGCACATCAAGCAATTGGGTTGGAAGCCAGGATGCAGTGTGACAGGAGAAAAACAACCCATAATCAAACATCGCAAGCACAAATTTGAAGGGGAGGGGGAAGTTTAGAATAGTAGTTAAGGTCAGCAGATGCCAATGAACTGAGATAGGACCGAGATGGGAGGTCTTCCAAACTGAGAAAGTGGTCCACAAGGCATTTTTTTTGCCATTTCCAAAGGTGACTTTGAGTCCCATTTAGGACTCTCAAATAAGAACAGGGGATGTTGTAAGCAAAGCAACTCCTTATGTATACATCCCTCCCGGAGTGATCAACTGTTTCCCATTTATTATTAAGAGTATTAAGTTTGTGTATTTTTAAAAATAAACTGTAGGGGGTGGGGATTGTGTGAACTGGCTTTCCATTGAATCAAATAGGCATAAATTCTCTTTTAAAGTCATGGAATTAATCTTGGATCACTGAAGCCAGTGTTTTTGAAGCTTTGAAGTTTTAATTATTTCCCCGAAACGGTGTCACTCCATGACAAATGTAAAGCTTCTCTAAAAAGGTTAATCCTTTTTTTCTAACTGCATCATAAAGGTAAAAAGAAAAGAAAAAGGCAAAACAGTTGAAACATCAAAGCCCTAAGTCACATTAACTTACAGATGTAATAATAATACCAAAGTGGTAAGCAGCTTCCATAAGTGGATATTTATCTTTGGAGTCATAAGCTGATTGAGGTGTTTCCCAGATAATCCATTCCTATTTTAAGCACTGATTAGTGCAAATGTTAAGTTAATGCAAACCATGCTTCATCCTTAATTGATCTAGAAGGAAGCCAATCCTATCTAGTGGTTTATCACCACATCGTAAATTTCAAGTTAAACAACCAGTACTTAAAAGGAGCAATTTATCAGCACAGGATCTTCTGGAAATGTCCGGTTTTTCTTCTTCCTCTGTATAGTTCTGTTTTGCTAATTCCCCCATTACAGGCAATGAGAGACTGTGTCTGTTTTTGCTGCACTAAATAGCTTCTGTGATGCATGTAGACAAATGTTGTGCTCTCACAGTGGCTGCCACATCCACTGGGAAGGAGAAACGGGGAAAATAGATGGCAGATGGAGCTGAAGTGACAATTCCTCCTGGAGCTTCTTATAGCCTGAACAGTGGATGGGAAATGTAAAAGTCAGTGCTGAAATTTAATAGGTTCCTTGTCACAAGTCCCATTTATGTTATGAAAAGTCTCAGACGCTGTGTCTTCGCCCACTTTGTATAATTTTCAGTACATTGGAAAGGTCAAAGCTCTTTGAAATCATTTCCAGGAGATTTTCATCGCTTTCCACTCCGCTGATGAACTCTTCTAAACTCAATTCCCCTAGAATAAAAAAAACAAAAAACAAAAGTGCTTAGGAATATACATAGGTAATTATAGATCATAAGAACTATTTCAAAATACCATACCTTTTAACCCCTAAGCTCTTCAATGGAGCAGTAACTCTCAAATTTAAGAAAAATATTATTAAACACCACTGAAACATTTTTAAGCTCTCATAGGACTTGGCAAAGACAATGCATGAGTTGAAGGGTCTGCACTGCATAATGAAACTGGTCAAAACCGGCATATCACAGTTGTTTTTAAAAAATGCTATCTTGTTGTCGGAGATGCTTATCAGTTCAAATCTAGGAACCAAAGTTTAGTCAAGCTAAGCTGTTTAATAGAATTCTCACTTGTCTTCCAAATCTCCTGGCTTCTTTTGGGGAATCTATGATGTTCTCCTTGATTTGGCTTACCTCCCCATCATAACATATTAAACAGACTCGGGTCATCTTAATTCTGTTTTTGTTTTGACGATTTATATACCGCTTAATTAGAATGCATTTAAGCTGCTGTTCAGCAAATGATTTATAAAGAAATTACATCTAGTACCACCTTAACTCTCTTGGTTTAAGATAAGCTCACTTAATAGCCTTGCTGCCCATAAATGGCTGGTTTTAAATTTCAGATATTTCTAATATTAGAGTCTGGAATTAGTTAAATAAATTGATTATATGACTTGCATAAAAAGCCCATTGTCTATATTGCATTGTATACCTTTTAATAATAAAAGTTTTTAAAAAGTAGATATTTTAAATAAAACAATAATATGCTTTTACTCCAGTGATCATCATCAGCTGGAGCTACAAGAATAATGAAATGACAATATCAAAATCCATTTGCACTGCATTGCCATGTAGTATTTTAAAATCCCCCTTAACACATGTTGTTTTTACTAAAGCCACTGCATCAGATACTCCTTTTGCTTTGTACAGTCCAGATGATTTGGTAGAGCATTTAATGCATTTCTGAATCCTGCACTGCACATGCAGAGATAAGGTGGAATGGAAAGAACTAGTGTGATGTAGCAGGCAAAGTGCAGGCCAGCGCCAGACTTGGCTTAGATCCAAAGCAGACATGAAACATCTACACACACCATATATTTAAAGCAAATGGCTTTCCTTAAAGAATCATGGGTGTTGTGGATTGCAGCGCTGGAAAGGGTGAACTACAGTTCCCAGGCTTATTAGGAAGAAGCCATCTGCGTTAAATGTATGGTGTGGAGAAAAACATGGCCGGTATTTGGAAATCTGGAACAGAAAAATAAGCAGAGAGGAAAAGAGGAAGCAGCCTGCCTTCAAATCCCTGCCTTCCTCAGAATGCTTTGGTTGAAAAAAATAATTGAAAGGCAAAAGAAAGACCCATGTAATTGTATGTTTCCATTAGTTTGGGCCTCAGCTATAAAGTTCCGCACATGGCCTTTTAAAAGTACCTCTAAAGTGAGGCTAGGTTGGCAGGAGCAGGGACCGAGCAATGTGAGCTCACCCCGTTGCAGGGATTTGAACTGCTGACCTTATGATCGGCAAGTCCTAGGCTCTGTGGTTTAACCCTTGAAAGCACGTCAGAGTGCAAGTAGATAAATAGGTACCACTCTGGTGGGAAGGTAAACAGAGTTTCCGTGTGCTGCTCTGGTTCGCCAGAAGTGGCTTAGTCATGCTGGCCACATGACCCGGAAGCTGTACGCCGGCTCACTCGGCCAATAAAGCAAGATGAGTGCTGCAACCCCAGAGTCGGCCACGACTAGACCTAATGGTCAGGGGTCCCTTTACCTTTTTAAAGTGAGGCTAAAATGGGGTTTCCATGTATTCCAGCCCATGTTCTTTGGAGGAAAGATGGGTTAGAAATGTGTAAAATAAAATAAAATAAAGGACCCTGAATAGACCTGCAACACTGTTTCCCCCAAATCATGCCCATGCCTGACGTACGTAAAGTGTGGGGCAGTTAAAGACATTGTTGACATGGGCAGCACTAGGAAATCCCATATTTAGAACTGATGTGATGGGGCTCAACACCATTGGCCCTGTTAGCAAGTCCTGTTGGAGTCTCATTGCGGGTGTAGCTTGCATTCAAATGCTGCTTTCAAATGCACATGTTTTTCCCTGCTGACCAGCAAAGAAAAAATGTAAGTTTGAAGCCATGGTTTGAATCCATACCACACCTGCTGAGAGCAAGTCCCTTTGAAGTGGTCAGCTGCTTTCGTCATGACGCCAAGTGATTGACAGGTTGGCTGCCCAACCAACTGTCAAACTGGACCCACGCTTGAAAATTTTTATAATCTTACCATCATTGTTAACATCTATCTTCTGGAATACCATGTTTGTGAATTCTTCTGGAGTCAATTCTTGGTTGCCGTTGATCGCTTGAATGGCCTGAAGGGATGGAAAAAATGCAAACATGTCAGCATGTCATAATGCAAATAGAATTTATGGCTGCTGGTTCGCTCAGCATCTGAGACAGGGGTGGGTGGCAGGAGCAGGCATAATCTCCAGGAAATCTTCAGTAATGAGGATTGTAAATTAAATTAATATAACAGAACCTAAAGGATTATAGATCCAATTAGCATATCATTGAAGATCCTGTCGGGACACGTGATTATTCTTAAACCCAGCTACATTTTTATCCTGCCCTGGAGAATCTGTTCTTTTAGAATATTCCATCTCATTTAAAGTAAAGATTATTGTATATGTATGTACATGGTGTGGAAGCTTAAGCAATTTTTCTCATCATATACATACATACATACATACATACATACATACATAGTGCTTTTTTCTTAAAAAAATGTTTAGGGGTACTCTCATTTTCCTACACATATTGAAATATTGCCCCTCAATGAGGCCAGACTTAGATTCACAAAATGTTTAGGGGTATGCGTACCCCTGCGTCCCCCCAGAAAAAAGCACTGCATATGTTACACCCACACCCACAAACGTAATCCTTGGCATCATAAAAATGTATAGGTATTTTTCACATTGCACAGGAAAACAGGCTTTACGCTACGAGTCATACTGACTATTATCTATCTTTGCTACTGTTGTGCTCATTAGTGTTAGAAACCGAGATATGAAAGCTAGGAGCTAAATGGCACCTTAAACCTAGGTTATGGGGGCAACAACAGAATGTCTAGGCACACTTTTTTATAACAAGAATACAAAGCTGAACATGAGTGAACTGCAGCTAAAGTGTTATGTTCATTTTTCACATGGTCTAGTCCTTGTCCTGCCCACCCCCTAATATTCTTAAGAGGGTCTCTTCTCCAGTCTTCAGAGAGTAGTGGGGAGGCAGAAAAAAGGCCCTCCTTTCCTTCCTCTTTGCAGTTTTATTCTGAAATCTTAGGTGCAGTACTGCGCCCAGAGCTCAGAAACTGCTCTCACTAATGAAATTCCCTGTTGCAAAATGCTCCTAGAACAATGGGAGTTTCGGGGGCCACTAGGGCGCGCATTGGAAGATGGCCAACAATACCATCTCTCCAACCCACACGGGGTAATTAAGAGGCTGTTATGGGAGTAGGCAGCCTCCCTTGTTGCCCCAAGGAAATGGGGAACACTGCCCTTGCCTGCTGTGCCCATAAATCACCCTCTAATTCGAAAGAAGGGGGTGAGGGCCCTAGGCAGAATGCCCCCGTGTGGACATCGGCTCTCCTGGACGCTGTCTCTGATCGCGCACTAGTTGCAGCAATTTGGAATAATTAATTACAAAAGAAGCAAATGCACATATTTCAAGTGAAGAAGGGGAGTGAAGTCTGCTAATTTAAGTGACCTCTGCGAAAGAAGACGACGGGCTGGAGAAACAGGAATATTTTACGATGAAGATACACCAAAGGCGGGGTATGTTGACAATGGGGCTGAATGGGGGGGGACGACCCTTTTTACTTTCCTTCTATGTGATTTACAAGAACCCCTCCTCATTAGAACCGTCGGTTGAACTGACCCAAGCAGGATGATTAAGGTCTGTGTGGAGATAAACTTTAACCAAAAGTATGCTTTATGGAGACCGAGAAGCAATAAGAGCTTTTGGGAATGGCACAGCAATTCAGAGTCGCCATCTTGCCAAAGGATTTACAGCCGGGAGGAAGAATGGATTTGTTTTCAGACTGCATTCCTAGTGAATCTCCTCAGAGGTTTTGAGAAAGGAGGCAGATCGGTGAAGATTAATGATGCTAAGACTGTTTTGATGTATGGAAGTGATGTTATATGGAAAACGTCTGGATATGGCTACTGGATAAAAAAAATAATATCCACGCAGGATTACAAACTGTTCTAACCAGCTTGCGGAGACTATCAGAGGTCACAAAGAGAAAGGAAAAATATATGAAAATAACAACAAGAGATGTGGAAAAATAATAAGAAAGGACTGGATAGTACTGTGAACATCATAAGGTTAGATTTGTGGACATTAAAACAGCAGTAAGAAGCAAGAAGTTGATTGGATCCCTTCGGAACTTGAAATATGGGTACCCCCAACAAAAATTTAAAATTCGGCTCTGTAATTTGGAATTTATGTAATTTGGTTTGATTTGATGTGATTGGTCGGTTAATAAAAAAATATTCTTAAAAAAATAATAATAGAGCAATGGGAGTTTCAAACGCTGCTCTTGTCCAGCTCGTAGACTTCCCACAAACATGTGGCCGGCCACTGTGAGAACAGGATGCTGAACAAGATGAGTCATTGGCTTGATCCAGCGGCTCATTTTACGCTCTAATCTTGATGTACTTGTCAGAATTTATGGAAGGGAAAAGTTGTTATGTACTGAGTTGAATAGGATCCAAAACGCAGCAGTCTGATTGGTCCTAGGACAATAGGATCCAAAACGCAGCAGTCTGATTAGTCCTAGAACAATGCAGCTGTATGATTGGTCCACAGGAGCCACCCAATCCAGCTCCAGGTGGAAGTGAATCCACAACCTGATTGGCTTACAGGAGAATCCCGGGATTAGCCAATCACGTGCAGCCCATTGTGTAAATAATGTATATAAAGCAGATATTGTGGGGGAACTTCCATTCCTCCTCACCACTATGAGCTGAATAAAGAGCATGAAATCCACTCTCGACTCCGAGCATATTTCAAAAGTGGAAGGGAGCTCTTTTTTCAACTTAATGTACTTTCTTAGGACATTTTCACATTGCCCCAGTTCTGGCTGGGGCTGATGGGAGTTGTAGGCTCCAGGTTGGGGAAGGCTGATAAAGAGCCATGCTAGGGAAGGGACATTGTGGGAAACTAAATCCAACCACATGGAGCTGCTGAGAGTGCCAGTTCAGAACCTTTGTTCAGAGCATAGCTGTCAACGTTTCCTTTTTTAAAGGGAAATTCCCTTATTCCAAATAGGATTCCTCGCAAGAAAAGGGAAAAGTTGACAGCTATGATTCAGAGGCTCCTAGTGTGGGTATCAGCAGTGGGCCCTGACAGCTACATAAGGATGCCTGGTGCTGGCACCAGCCTTGTGTAATTCCCTCTCTTTCACCACAGTGGGGACAGGGAGATCTCATTGCAGGCCCATGTTCCCCTTTCCCATTGATTTCTGGAACAAAAGAGAAGCCGTGAGTGACCGTCTAGCCAGATAATGACTGAAACAGGCAGTGAGCTACAGCCAAAACATCAATAGGTTTAAATAATTGATTTCCCATAAAACGCTTCATGGCAAATATATGCTAACATATACCATTCCCTTACCGTGAATATGCTTAAGAGTTCTCTTTTGTCAATAGTTCCATTCCCATCAGCGTCATAGAGTTTAAAATACCATTTCAATTTTTGGTCAATTTTTCCTCGTATAACCAGATTTATTGCAGCTATAAATTCCAAGAAGTCGATAAACCCATCCTAAAGAAGGAAAGAAAGATAAGTTTGTAGCATGTATAGCCCTTAATTTATTCTGGCAATAATATTAATAAGGGGCTGGTCTGCTGCAAAGAGAATACAAGCTTAACTGAAAGCATCTTACACTGAAATCCCCCCCAGGGCATTCAAAAAATGTGAATATATCAGTTCATACAAAAGCAATACAGAAAAGCTTTAACACATAAGGGCATGTCCTAACTGGTGACATTAAGATACTCTCTTTTCCTCTTCAGTGATTATTTCTTGTATAAACGATCAACCTTTTGTTCTTGGAGACTTCATAGGCAATTGGTTTTTCACACAAGAAATGCACTATTGTTACTCATTTGTTGTTGGGAGTCGGATATCTGGTAGTTCTACTGCAAGGATACCACATTTTCTAAACAATCACACTGCAATATTTTGTCTCCAAGAAATAACATTTAATTTTGAGAAAAAAACAGTTGTTGCTATTGCCATCATCATGTCAAATGTAGTTGCTGATGGCTTTGTCGATGAACCATGCTATTTCCTGCATCTTCCCCATGCCTGCAATATTTTGTGACTTTTTTTAAAAAAAAGAAAGTTATACGATGGCAATTTATTTGCATTGATTTTTTTTATTTGATAAAGGATGATTTCTCTCTGTGTACTACTGCTTCAGAGTGTCCATAGAGTCTGAAAAAGAAAAAACGATGAACCACAGAAATGCCACTGGGTGGAATAGAACTGTCCGTTGCAAAAATGGCAGACCTGTGTCAAGTCCCTTAGCCTGTGTCCTGATGTCACCAGCCAGTGTTTCCTCACCTTGTTATGCAGAGGTTGGGAGCACACATATCTTAATGGGTGTGGCTGTGTATCACAAGGCCACATATCAAGCCTTCCCCCCATCCATGTGTTTGGTGCACATGAGAAAGGGATCTACAAGCTTTTATGTTTGGTGCACGTAGAGATCTCCTACATAGAGAGGGGATAATGGTTCAATGTGTGTACGTCATGCTTTCCAGAGAATCCAGACACACAGATGGCAAGGGGGCATGGCCGTTGAATGCATTGGCAGTGAGGGCAAGATTACCCCACATAGCTTTATCACACACACACACACACACACACACACACACTCTTTGAATGCACAGTGGGCAATATGAATGGAACACAGGAAGGTGCCTTATACCAAAGCAGACCATTGGTGCATCTAGCTCAGGATTGCCTAGCAGCTCTCCAGAGTTTCAGACAGAGAATCTCCTCGCCCTACCCTTCTTTAATATCAGCTGAGTCGCAAAAAGAAACAGCATTTTTAAGATGGCTGAAAGTGAGTAAATGCCAAAACATCTGTTTTGTGTGGACTGGGTATCTCACTCATGTCTTTGAGCAGCATGTTCCACAAAGAATAAATGGCAGATGGGGCCAGCAGGCTATACCATCTAGATCAGACTATGTCTCCAGATGTTGTTGAACTACAACTTCCACCCTGTGATATGCTGAACGAGATTTTACTAATGGGTGGAGGCAGACACAGGGATACCGTTTTCAGCCACCATCCCTTACCATTGGTCTGACAAAGTTTCAACAATATTTGGGGGATGGAGGCGGGGCAGGTTTCCTATTTCTGATCTATATAAACTCTTGAAATTCTGGGTTAAATCACTGCTCCAGTATATCAGTTTAAAATACATTGCTCCCTTTTCCATTCACTGAGCAATTGCCGCCTTTTTTATTTTGCGAATTGCCGTACAATAAAAAACAACAGCAAACAGTTACAGATCTCTCACATGTCATTGTTGCAGTATATGATTGGAAAGAAGTGATAAGCATTAAAAACAGATAAGCAGTAAGTAAAGCAACACTGTAGTTTCCTATGGATTATTCCCGCCCTTTGGTGTGAGTGACAGTGTTCTTTGCTGTGGACTCTACCCTTGCCTTTATGTTATGACCACCTGCAGACCTTTCTTAGACAGTACATCCACCTGGGGTGCTTGATTCAGCCCTGTTGATCACCACAGTTCCAATGCATTGCTGTTTCCTTCCACACATTCTCCTCAGCGGTCCACACTGCGGTCCATTATAGGTGACACAGTCTAGATGGCATGGCATGTCTTGGAGTTTTTTAAGCAGAGGTTGGCTGGCCATCTGTCATGGATGATCTAGTTGAGATTCCTGCATTGCAGGGGATTAGACTATAGATGACCCTTGGGGTCCCTTTCAACTCTACTATTCTATGAAATTCATCCTTATTAATGACAGATTCATTTCTTTTCAAAATGTTTGATGGCAGCTGATTTTGTGTTCAAAAGCTATGCTGAATGAACTAAATGATTCAGAAGACCAGGAAGGATGTTTCCATTCAGCACAGATACCATATAGTTTTGCTTTAGGTTTCTCTCATTTCTGGAGGAACCTTCTTCACATGTTCACATGGAGTGGGTAGTGAAGCCACATCCACCAGCCTACTGCACCAGCCAACTTTGCCTCCTAGCCTCTGCTCTCTACACTTTTGGGAATTCCATTTGACCAAGGTTCCTCATAGCACAGAGGGCCTGCTGCTTTTGTGTAAAATTTTCACACTTAGCTCCCCTTTCCAAAATAAAACACGTGTGTTGGGGGAGCTCTGGAAAGTCATAGGGATGCCGCCTTGATGGGTTGACAGAACAAATGTCTAATTTCACTCGAACGAGACATAAAATAGGCACCCAAACTAGTAAGATGTTACACAACAAAACAGGATGCTGTTACTGATGGAATTTGGATGCATCAGCAGAAGCCTGAACTGAACACTGAATCTCTGCTGGAGGAGCACACTTTATTTATAGATGCAATCTCACTTAGACTCTCCGTTTGGAAAATAAGAAAGCTGAATTTATTAAAGGAAATACAAGTGTGATAAAGAGGATCCTAGTTCTATCTAAAGAGGATGCCTGTTGTTCTCGGCAGGAGACACAAACAAAGATATTTCCTCAACCCAAGGGGATGATGAAGGAGGGTGGAATAGGAAATGAGATCAGCACACCCTTCATTCCATTTGTGCCACATAAAATCACAGAATTGTAGAGCTGGAAGAGACCGTGAGGATCTAGCCCAACCCTCTGCAATACAGGAATTTTACCTAAAGCATCCATGACAGATCACCATCCAACTTTTGCTTAAAAAGGGGAGAGTTGACTACCTTCCAAAGGAATCCATTCCACTGTCTAACATTCCACTTCCTGATGTTTAGTCAGAATATCCTTCCTTTTAATTTGAACCCATCGGTTTGGGTCCTACCCCCTGGAGCAGGAGAAAACAAGCTAGCTTAATTTTCTGTGTCACAACCCTTTAGACTCAGAACCTGATTGATGTTTGTTCCAGTTCAGCGGTAAACAGTGGGTTTTCCCAGGGAAAGGATCAGGACAAAAAACAAAACCCCACTTGGACCTATGGCTAGAAATCATTAACCTGGGCCTAGAAACCACAGGAAAAAAAGAAGTGTGATGACCCCCCCCCCTGAAAGTATCAGTCTAACACCTGAGAGAAGGCAGCAGCAGATTTAGGGCCGTGCAGGCAAACCCCCCCCACAGGGTGCCAAGCTAAGAGAGCACAAAATTATTATTATAAAACCTATTTTTATATGTGTATCTACTGAAATTCATGAAAAGCAACTGTACTAAAAGGAATTATTGTGAAAATAAGAAATTTTAGGGAGGGGCACCAAATTTTAATCTTGTTCAGCCTGCTGTGGTACCAAAGCCCATCCCTGGGGAACGTTAACAGAGGTTATAGGGACAGTCTAGGACGCCTGGAGGTTCATTTCTCTATATGCTTTCTCCCCATTCAGCCCCACCAGTCTTCAATACAAGCTGAGTTGCACCCCAGCGCTTGCAACAACTACATCATTATCCAGCATCATGACAAAAACAAACAAAAATTTGCTGAAAATGAATAAATTCCAAAACAGAAAAGGGCAGGGGTTAGATGGGGAAGGAATTCATTTGTCACTGAGCACTAGTGCAGGACTGGACAATTCAAAGTATGGACAAAAACAAATAGCACTTCTTGATATGTAAAAAAGGAAGCCACCTCTTGGTGTAAAAAAACAAACACAAATGAATAATTTGGGTTCCACTATGGTTCCGCTCAATTCACTATAATGAAAAAGTCTCTTTGAGGGTTTATCCACAATAGAACATCTTTGAGGTTCTATTAAGTCTGTCCCTATAGATATAGGTAAACATGGGAAACGGTGCTGAACAATTTCTTGCGCCTTTCCTGGAGAATAATTACAGTTTTCTGCAAGGATCGTTAAGCTGTATCATGTCAACCAAGTTTATTGATACATAGGGTGACTCCCAATGCTGTCCACCTACTTGTGCAATGGGATTTCTGCTCTCCCTGCAACAACCCCTCAACCTCAAAATTAGAGGCCCCCCAACCATCATTAGCAACTCTGCGGGTGTGAGAGGGCTTGGGGGGGGCGGGGAGATGAAGCCAAAACTGCATTGCACAAGTGGATCCTTACCTATGCTATGCTGGATGTCACCCATTTTATATAGCCTTCCAAACCTTCCTGGTCCTCTTTCATTAGTCTGATAAACCTGGTTCTGGACAAAGGCATTGAAACAAATTAGTTCTCCAGAATCTCACAACTGCATATTCAAATTATAACTACATATTTTCAGTACAGTAATCTGTAAAAATAAATAAATATTTAGTGCTTACAAGGCTATTAACATGCCTGGCTAAATAGGAGGTTGAGCCAAATTCATGAAGGACATTACTGGGGATTTTTCGGTATTTATACAAGTGCACTATATAAGTCTGTCTTTTATATAATTACATTTAAGGAGATGAGGGTGATCTCACTGGGCCAGAAAGCATGCAACAGTACATCCTTTGAAGTTGAAGATACATATGCACTAAGTGACCAAAAAAAGAGAAAAAACTCAACCCTTGAAAATAGACTATCAAACTATATTAGACTTGTATACTAACATGACATCCAATGGCATGTGGTACAATGGCATCAAAGCATCCTATATAAACACCCAGATGTGCCAAAATGAAAAAAAAGATGCAGACAATCACAGAAACATTAGGAAAAGAAAATGGAGTCATTTGAAGTACAATAATTCCTAGTACGATGTATGCCTATCCAAGAGGACCTTATTCCTGTAACAAACAAACAAACAAGCAGCTCAGTCTTATACATTTTTTTTCTCAATCTCGGAGCATGATTTGAAACGATGGTTGGGAGCCTGAGGCAAACTATGGTTATTGCAAACACAGAAAGGAGGAAGAGCAGAATGTGTGCAGGGCCTGAAGCACATTCTTGAGTGCCAGATCTTTATATCTGATTCAATGTTCTTTGTTCAGAGACTTTCTACAGCTGTGGTTTCATGAAGATAACAATCCCTTCTGTGCTCTGAGACCTCTTCTGGGGCTTCCATTCCAGGAACCTTCAGGTAAGAGGCTGTTCCTCCCCCAATCTGGCGCCTTCCAGATGTTTTTAGACTACAGCTCCCATCATCCCTAGCCTGATGGAGAATGACGAGGAGAGAGAAAGACATGATAATTTTTGGGCACAGGGCTTGTCCACACTTCTGCCTAAAAAGCACAGGGTCAAGCAGTCTTCTCCTTGCCCCGCTCCTTTCCAAGGGAAAACCCACTCTTTAGTGATACATTAAAAAAAAAAGGCAATGGTTTTCCCCAGGAGGTAGGGGGAAGCAGCAGGAGAGAAGTGTGGATAAGCCCACAGCACTACAGAATTCTGACAGAAACTCCAAATTCTGCCTTTTGACCACAAGGTGGCAACAACATGTCCATATGCTCAGAAGGCTTTCATGCCATCCGAATGGAATCCTGATCTTCCATCAAGTATTGCCCATAGACTTCCAAGCTTATTGTTACATCCTTGAGGGCTAAAAACTCGAGGGATGATCCAATCCATATACAGGGGGCTGGGAGATATGCAGAGAGGAGGCGTCTATGTTGGAGAATTCTTCATGCAAGAGAAAGAAGGTATCAACTTTCCTTTACTAGCTTCCCAGGATGGCGAAATATTTGCACCTTGCACCAGTAGGACTGCAGCATCATGGAATATGCACCATCTTGCAACTGGATGCAATATATCGTAGAATGTGTGTATAAAGGACAATCCCAGAAAGAGCTACCGCTTTCCCTGCCACATTCGGGTGCACATTCTGTGACCGTCAGTGGGATTTTTGTAGAACGAAACCCCTGTAAAATGGCTGTAAAATTGGGTAGGAACAACCCCACTACTTACAGCCACAGTCCTTCAAAGCCCACTGTCCTTGTTCACAGCCTACAGAGACAGTTGTGCCCATAAAAAAACAAAATGGGACATGTGAGATTAGAACATTATGCAAGGGTTAGGTAACAGGCACTGGAAGCTGGAAGCTTAACAAGGTCGTTATCCTTTTATATTTAGAGTAGCGTTGATAATCCCCTGTTCAAACTGCAGTTCTTTCCCTTCTGATAGCCTAACCGAAACTGATACATAGCACAGGCGATCCCAGTGAGACTGCTTAGAAGACTGGGGTGTGATTTTTGTGGGGAAAGGGGTTCTTCCCATGGTCATAGCTGTCAATGTTTTCCTTTTTTTAAGGGAAATTCCCTTATTCCGAATAGGATTCCTTGCAAGAAAAAGGAAAGGTTGACAGCTATGCCCATGGTCCTAATGTAAACAACCCACTCACGGCTGCTCTTAGCACGGCAGCGGGGGGGGGGGGGGCAATGGGGCAGGAAGGACCAGAACAGGATCTCTTGCCTTCAGGTTTTATAAGACAAAAGTCAGTACCCATCTGTAAAGGGAGAATTGCTTGGTCAGAGCTTAAGAATCTTGAGATGTTTTTCTTGAGATCGGGTGTGAGGAACCTTTGACTCTCCAGCTGCTGAACTACAACTCCCAGAAAGCTTGGCCCAATGACTAGGGATGATGGAAGTTGTAGTTGTCCGGAGCTGCATTCCGGAGCAGGTCAGCAACAAAACACTTGGTGTTAGTGAAGTTAACTCTTTATTCAAAGAACCCAAAACAGTGCAGGCCTAGTGCAGCAACTGTTCTCAGTAGGTCTTGCCCCAGTGAGGCAGTTGTGAGGACTGAAGGTCTCTGCCTTCCCACCACTCTCTAAGATTCCTCCTCCCCCAGCAACCTGAGGCTCCTTTGTCTTGTCTCTCTTTGCTCTGCTCTCTTCATACCTCTTTGGGTTCTGGTAGACCAGGAGGGGAGGGGAGCTGGTCACACCAGGAAGGGGAGACTCCTTGGATTCTTCAGCAGCCTGTTTCAACTCTGTCTCCTGCCCCACCTCCTCTCCAGCCTCTGAATCAGGACTGCTCTCTGCCCCAGTTCATTCCTGCTCACTAAGCCCTGTTGCCTCTTCTGCTGCCGATACATCCTCCTCCCAGTCTTCTCCCAGTCTTCTTCCTCTGACCACTCATCGTCTTCCCACCACCAATCCCTTGGCTCTGAGCCTTCTTCCTCTGGAGGTTCCCTTGGGGGTTCTCCAGCTGGTGCCTCCCACCAGTCCTTTGCATCTGGCCAGTCCATGACAGCTCAGCAACATCTGGAGGGCCAAAGAGTCTTCATGCCTGTTTTATATACAGCACTTATTTCATCCCTATATGCCCACATGGGCAAGTGATGGCTTAGCACTGCCCTCAAATCCTGTTCTTCTTGGTACCATTTCCTCTTTATTCCTTTGGTTTCATGGTCCTCTGACTCACCAGGACTCTGATGTTGGCTCTTGTGATCTCACATGATGTTATTGATGTCATGACACCACATGTGATAAAGTTACAGATGCTCATAAAACCAAATCCACAGTCAAAATTAAATTGCAGGGTGGGCAAATGATGCTGAAGGTTCTGGGAGGAAAGGAGAAGGTTCAAACGAGCACTGCAAATAGGCAGCATCCAGGGAACAAAAAAGGTGTGAAAGAGCAGTGAAACAGTGTAAATGTTCAGCCAGTTTACTACTCTGATCAGCTACATATAATAGTAATAATTAAAAGTTTATTATTATTATTGCCCAAGCTGCACCATATGATCCCAGGGTGGATGAGAACAATATAAAAATATAGATTAATATCAGTTAAAACAAGTCTCAAAATGTGCTAACATTGGAACCAGCATATATTAAGTGCAGCCCTAGAATAAAAAAACATTAAATAGACTGCATATTGTAGTAGAATTCTGGCCATCCCAGTTACCTTGGTTAAAAAACCCTCAGCTACTGTTTTTTTAAATGATCTCCATTATCTCCTAACCAAATGATCTCCATTATCTCCTAACCAATGTTGATGACCTGGTTAGTGGGGTAGAAGTGGAAGGATCATTAGGCGCGAGTGATCATGCTCTTCTGAAGTTTACTATACAGCGGAAAGGAGCAGCCAAGCATACTAGGACTCAATTTCTTGACTTTAAGAAAGCCGACTTCATAAAACTGAGGGAAGTGCTGGGTGAGATCCCATGGACAGTAATACTAAAAGGAAAGGGAGTTCATGATGGCTGGGAGTTTGTTAAGAGGGAGATAGTAAAAGCGCAACTTCAGGCAATACCAATGAGACGGAAACATGGAAGGTGCCTAAAGAAGCCAGGGTGGCTATCTAAAGAACTTTTAACTGAGTTAAGATTAAAAAAAGGATGTGTACAAAAATGGAAAAGGGGGAAACCACCAAAGAGGAATTCAAACAAATAGCCAGCACGTGTAGACACAAAGTCAGAAAAGCTAAAGCACAGAATGAACTCAGGCTTGCTAGAGAGGTTAAAAGCAACAAAAAGGCTTTTATGGGTATGTTCGTAGCAAAAGGAAGAACAAAGAAACAGTGGGGTCACTCAGAGGAGAAGATGGTGAAATGCAAACAGGGGACACAGAAAGGGCTGAACTCCTCAATGCCTTCTTTGCCTCAGTCTTCTCCGATAAAGAAAACAATGCCCGACCTGAAGAATTTGGAGCAAATGATTCAGCAGAGGAAACACAGCCCAGAATAACTAAGGAGATAGTACGAGAATACTTGGCTAGTTTAGATGTATTCAAGTCTCCAGGGCCAGATGAACTGCATCCAAGAGTATTAAAAGAACTGGCAGATGTGATCTCAGAACCACTGTCAGTCATCTTTGAGAATTCCTGGAGAACAGGGGAAGTTCCGGCAGACTGGAGGAGTGCAAATGTTGTCCCTATTTTCAAAAAGGGGAAAAGAGAGGACCCAAATAATTACCGCCCAGTCAGTCTGACATCAATACCAGGGAAGATTCTGGAGCAGATCATTAAGCAAACAGTCTGTGAGCACCTAGAAAGGAATGCTGTGATCACCAATAGTCAGCATGGATTTCTGAAAAATAAGTCATGTCAGACTAACCTGATCTCGTTTTTTGACAGAATTACAAGCCTGGTAGATGAAGGGAACGCAGTGGATGTAGCCTACCTTGATTTCAGCAAGGCATTTGACAAGGTGCCCCATGATATTCTTGTAAAGAAGCTGGTAAAATGTGGTCTTGACTATGCTACCACTCAGTGGATTTGTAACTGGCTGACTGACCGAACCCAAAGGGTGCTCATCAATGGTTCCTCTTCATCCTGGAGAAGAGTGACTAGTGGGGTGCCACAGGGTTCTGTCTTGGGCCCAGTCTTATTCAACATCTTTATCAACGACTTGGATGATGGACTCAAGGGCATCCTGATCAAATTTGCAGATGACACCAAACTGGGAGGGGTGACTAACACCCCAGAGGACAGGATCACACTTCAAAACGACCTTGACAGATCAGAGAACTGGGCCAAAACAAACAAGATGAATTTTAACAGGGAAAATGTAAAGTATTGCACTTGGGCAAAAAAATGAGAGGCACAAATACAAGATGGGTGACACCTGGCTTGAGAGCGTACATGTGAAAAGGATCTAGGAGTCTTGGATGACCACAAACTTGACATGAGCCAACAGTGTGACGCGGCAGCTAAAAAGCCAATGCAATTCTGGGCTGCATCAATAGGAGTATAGCATCTAGATCAAGGGAAGTAATAGTGCCACTGTATTCTGCTCTGGTCAGACTTCACCTGGAGTACTGTGTCCAGTTCTGGGCACCACAGTTCAAGAAGGACACTGACAAACTGGAACGTGTCCAGAGGAGGGCAACCAAAATGGTCAAAGGCCTGGAAACGATGCCTTATGAGGAACGGCTAAGGGAGCTGGGCATGTTTAGCCTGGAGAAGAGGAGGTTAAGGGGGTAATATGATAGCCATGTTCAAATATATAAAAGGATGTCACATAGAGGAGGGAGAAAGGTTGTTTTCTGCTGCTCCAGAGAAGCGGACACGGAGCAATGGATCCAAACTACAAGAAAGAAGATTCCACCTAAACATTAGGAAGAACTTCCTAACAGTAAGAGCTGTTCGACAGTGGAATTTGCTGCCAAGGAGTGTGGTGGAGTCTCCTTCTTTGGAGGTCTTTAAGCAGAGGCTTGACAACCATATGTCAGGAGTGCTCTGATGGTGTTTCCTGCTTGGCAGGGGGTTGGACTTGATGGCCCTTGTGGTCTCTTCCAACTCTATGATTCTATGATCACAGCGTATATCATTTATCTACAGTGAAAGGATGAAAAGCTAAGTCACAGCTTCATGAAGCTTATAAACCTGTCAGTCTTCCAGACAGTCTGGGCATTCCTAACCAAAAGCTTAGACCACTAAGCCAACCCCTCTGCCTTTTAAAACACTTCTTAAGAAGCATCAGCAAGATAGTGGGAAGAGGTTAATATCAGGTCTGGCCAAGGGCTGGATTCTGACAGCTTAGAAAAAGTAATCCCACCTTTCATTACCAAATTTGAAAAACGAGATTATCGGAATGAATGTAAAAATTCCACAGGGTTGCAATTCCTAGATATGGCAAGACTCTGGCCATCTAGCTTTGTTGCCAAATTACAAAACCGTATTGTTATTGTTATTTTTAATTGCAAACAATGCTGGACAAATGTGCTGTGACAGATGAGCCATTTAATGCCAATGTTTCTGATAGCATTTAAATGTGCTGAAGATTGTACACTTGAGCCCCCAACAAACATTATATACCAAAGGATGAGAACAAAAGGGAAATTGAACATATGTGAAATTTAACTGAAGTCTCTCTGTTTCCACTATACACACAAAGATGTATCTGGATGAAAAGCCTTCTTTTCTTCCTAATACTGCTGGAAAATGAGCTCCAGAAATGCTGGCCTGGCTCACAAAGAGCCAGACTAAAGGCATAGTCTAGCCAGCTGAGGTGTCTCATCAGAGCTGGGTTGCAAGAACCTCAGTTTGCCTGGAACATGCTTTTCTGTAGACCTTCAGTAGTTGTGAACTGGGGTTATGATGCAATAGCTGGTGTGAAATGAAATGGTTTTACTGCTTTTATTTTGATTGTGAACTTCAATGTTTTGTTTTACACAGCTTTTTTTAATGATAATTTGAATACTGTTTTGGGAAGATATTTAGATTTGGAAAGGTGGCTTAGAAGAAGGGCCTTAAATAACTAAATACATACATACATACATACATACATACATACATACATCAGACAGAGGTGAGGTACTCCTTGACCTCACTGATGTTAGCAGAGAGCAACCTGCATTGGGCAGGTAGTGAAATGTCTTTTAGCAGTGTCTGTGGTAGCTTCAAATATCCTGGAGAAATGGTAGTTTGAAGTGTTAACACAGACGGTAAACGATGGATGATAAATTGGACATAGGGAAGATCAAGTGCCCATATGTCGTCACCTGTTTAGGAGACAAATTGACTATGAGTGGAATCATTTCCTCTAACAGGGCCTTAGCTAAGACACTGGTGTAAAGAGATGGGACAGACTGAATTAGAACTAGATGAGCAATTGTTCTCATCTTCAGTACTATGTGTATCTTGCCACCTATCAGCAGGTTCACCATTATTCCACCCATTAAATTGTGTGGAAATGAAGAATAAATCCGCAGAACATATAAGTCCTCTGTCTTTAGTCTGTCTCTCTGTCTTCAATAGCCTATGAATCCATAGAGACGTAGGCTATACACTTACCATACAATTAAAGCATATTATTTCTCCCCAAAGAATCTTGAGAACTGTAGCTCACCATTCCCAGAGCAACTGTTGCTGTTCCCATGATTCTTTTTTTTGGGGGGGGGGAGATGTCTTCTAAATATATGGTGAATATGTAGCTATAGTTTCAAGATCCAAAGATACAAGGAGATGAGCATCCATCCCTAGACGTGTAGGGTTTGAAAACATAACCTGTATCTTGCAAAAATGGAAGCTACAAATAGAGCACACTGAATTTAGAGGTTTGGGTATGTATGTAAAGGCACCAGTGCAGGCAAGACCTTGAAAAGTGGTGAAGACTGGGGTGGTGGCAGCAGGCACCACCCCAAACCTCTTCTACATAGTCATCTGTGCACAGATTGAAGGCTTGCATGGTGGTTTGCTATAAAAAGCTCACAGACCCACTGCAGACCTGTGCCTGTGCAGATCTCCAGTTTATTATCATCATGTTGGAGTGAGGAGAAAAGAAGAAGAGTATCAGAAGGTGGGTGCAAAGGAGAAGACAGATCAGAATGTGACTGGGAAGAGGTAGAAAAGGATCAGTGGTGGTATCTGGGGGAAGGAAGCATGTTGTGTTCAGTAGCCTTCATCCACCTGGTGCCCTCCAGCTGCTTGGGACTACAACTCCCCACTAGCCACAGCTGTAGCACAGGGGTGGCCAACATATTTGGCCCTCATACATTTTATTGAGCCCTCTCCAGGTCCCCCTAGATTTGGTAATTTTAGATTTTAGGTGGATTTTAGGAAAAAAGCAACAACAATTTTTCTTCTGGCTCTTCTTCCTTATTGACACTAGCTGTTTCAGGGAGAGGGTTGGTATCCCAACCTGCCTGAACACCCACCCCAATCTTGT